TTGAATGAGCGCTCTGTTTTCATGTATAGATATTATTGTATAAGATAAGTCGCGCCTGAGCGCTTCGTCTGTGGGGCAGTCCGTTGTGCCTTGCTGTCGGGAGTTTTGTTTGTTTTGTATTATGTCTATCGGATTTTCAGTAAACCATCTTTCTGGTTAAAAAGGAGTCTGTGTTGTTCCTTTTCCCCTCACCGTGAACCCGTCACCAGGGCGTGGACCTATCATCCGGTCAGCGGTCCTATCAAAATTATAAATTTGTTTGCATAGGATATCTTTTTTCATCGAACCTGTGACAACTGTGTAGAAGAAAGCATTGACGCTTTTGGTGTCAAACTCAAGATCTATCTGAAGTCCACCTTCGCTGCTTGGGATGGAAATGCCTACTTACAAAAGATGGGAGTATGTATAGGATCATTGCTCCACTACTTAGTGAAATCTTTCTTGCACATCACGACAGGATTCTACAACAACTGTTGGATACATCAAAGGCAAACACAGTATGTAGATACGTTGATGCTTTTTTTTAATATTTCTAGCTACAGATGATACAAATTTCATATTCAGGGTGGAAGAGGTTCCCTAGAATCTAAGAACTGCATGAATTCTTCGGAACTCACCTACGAACTGCCGGTCGAAAGATCATTATGATTTCTGGATCTTCGACTGTATGGGCTACCCTATCATATCTGTTGGTCATACGAGCCCAGGGCGAAGAAACCTCTCCTACCATTCAACCCTGCACATTCCAAGCTTGTAAAGATAGGCATAGTGAGGTCACGCCTCAGGAACTGCCGTACCAAGTCATGCTTACATTCAATGCAGACGAGCTTCAATGGGCAAGTATCAAGGCTGAGGTCCGCTAGATATCCTCTTCTCGTATTGACGTCGTCGGTAACAGAGGTTCTCAGAGAAATCAAGCTTGGTAGAGGAGCAAAAATAGCCAGAGACAGGAAAACCAGACCGGTAGTCGTGCCGTATATGCGCAATCTTTCTCATGGTCTAAAGGACATAGCAAACAAAGCAAATGTGAATGGAGTTTTTTTAGCACAACACAAACTTCACAGCGTCTGCAAAAAAGTTAACACCTCCTCAATCAGCATCGTCAGCTGCACAAAAGAAGCACAGATCCAGCTTTGTCACATGTGTAAAGGGGTGGTCTATTCGTTTTCCCTTTCCTGTGGAAAAGAATACATTAGATAGACTGGGCGGTGTTTAAATAACCGCCTGCGTGAGCACAACAACAACGTTTCCAATGCCAGCTCTGGTCACTGTAGGGATTGTGGCTGTACTGTGCGACTGTGCTCTGTTAGCCAAGAGCAGGGGCAGATCCAGAACTCCGTTTTTTTGTGTTTTTTTTTTGTGTGGGGGGGGGGGGGGCGGGAAAATTTTTAAGGATACTATTCTCCTGTTCTTTTTTGTGCAAGGGGGGTCCACCCATGTCAAATCGCCCTCCGAGAAGAGGGGAGGGAGGGGGGTCGACTTTGTTTGGGAGGGGGCGGCCGCCCCCGTCGCTCCCCCCCCCCCCCCCCCCCCCTCCTTGGATCCGCCACTGGCCAAGAGTAAAAACCAGCTCACTCGAGAAATTATACAAGCCGAGAACATTGTACAATGGGATGCCCAGTGCTTTAGCACTCCGTCCTTAGCCTTATCGGAAAAAAAAGAACTGCATTATTTATACAGAACCTGGTTTCGACAGTAGGCCAATATATCCACTGGTTTCTTTTTTTTATTTTCTGATATTATTTTTGTAATTATTTATTTTTTGTAACTCTTGGACTTTTTGTAACTCACGGACTATTTATATTAAGAGGGTATTCGACAGTAGACCAGCATGCATATCACCTGGTTTATATATGTTCGTGATTAATTTTGTAATTATTTTTGTAAGATTTGTAACTCTTGGACTCGGCAGTGTTATTATTACTCTCCTTTCTTTTCCTTTTCTTGTAATGTTTGTAACTCCTGGACTCGCAGTGTTATTATTATTCTCCTTTCTTTGTCTTCCATTTTCCTTTTTCTAGTCTTCGCTTCTTTTCTTTTCTTTTTACAGCGGAGCTGTTAAGGGCTAGGTTCCCCAGGACCGTGTCCGTGTATGTCGACACAAACCTACCTGGACAGCTACCGCCATCTATAAGCGACGGCGGCAAGCACACAACCAATAGTTGAGCGCGTTGGTGGGAATTCATCGTAGGAAACAGCGCGAAAAACAGACGACAACGAAGAAGAAGCACACAGTGTATCGAGTACAGCTCCGCTGGTCTTCCTTCTTCACGAGAGTGGAAAGGCTGAACAAATTTTTTTTTACCTTTTCTCCTTTTGCCTTGTCTTTCACTTTTCCTTCATTTTGAGAGGAAGTTTGAAATACAGATGAGTTGATAATTCAAAGCTGTAAAATGTTTTATTTATTTTTTATTTTTTAGTAACTGTCTACCTGTGCGCTGGTTTGTACTTATGCCTAAAGCGTCGTTGACACACTTGCAACCGGATGTGCTGCTGCGGAGCAAGTTGTACCCCTCTCGGTCGTATTTGGTTGCAAGTGTGTGAACGGCGCTTTACCAACTCGCCGAATCTGCAGTATTACCAGCGTGGCAGTCCACGGAAGCTTCGGCAGCCAGAAGTTGGGACGCCGTGACGATAGCGACACTCGCGTTCGGTCGTGCTACTCGCAGCCTTTTCGTTAGCATTTCTATAAACAGACAGGATCAGGACATGCAACAGCATGACACTTAGGCTTCTGTGACGTCATTAGTTGCCACTTCGGGTAATCTCCTGCGTATGCATTTTTGATGTATGGGCAGCATATAGGACGCTAAACACACCAGTCGAAGCGCTCCTGGCATCACCGCTGTTTGACACCGCCAGGATCGCGACCGGTGATAACATGACACTTCTCTGACATCATCAGGCAAGAATCAGGGCACCAGTTATTTGGACACGGTCAGTGGCGTACCAACTTGTTTTTGAGTGTGGGGGAGGGGGGGGGGGAAACAGAACCCCCCCTCCCCCTCCCCCCCAGGGCCCGGGGGGGGGGGGGGGGGAGGGGGAAGCGCCCTCCTTGCCACCCCGGTTGGTATCCCAGGCGAAAATTTTCAACTGGGACCAGTTGGTCCCAGTTGCAACTGGTTTATGGAACAATTCCCAGTTGCAACTGGTCCCAGTTGGAGTCGTCCAACTGGTCCCAGTTGGTCCCAGTTGCAACTGGTTTATGGAACAATTCCCAGTTGCAACTGGTCCCAGCTGGAATTGGTCCCAGTTACAACTGGTCCCAGTTGGAGTTGGTACCAACTCCAGCAACAATGAAACACGGCACAAAATGGAAGGTTGACAATACTTTATTGTCAAAAACTTGGAGAATGAAACTAAATAGGTTCGGTGACGTACACGCTCCGGGTTTAGCCACTTGCTTGCGACGGTTGAATCGCTTTTTCAGAGGTGGTATTCATGAGATGAAGGAAGATCGGCCGCTGGCGTCTGTTAGTGAAGACGTCCTCAGCTTCTCTTCCCATCGCGTGAAGAAAGGTGCTCACCCGTGATCCTGCGTTGCGCAGGTGAAGTCCTGATAAGATGCGGTAGCGCTCCCACCTTGCAATCTCTGTCACAACAGTCGAACATTTTCGAGGTAGTCCGCCTCCCGCCATTTTCGCCATTGTGCTCTCCGCGGCGTGTTTTCTTCCGTCCGGTCTTTCCTGGGTGCCCTCCGATCGCTGAACTGCATCTTTCCATCCTCGAAGTTCACCGCCGCCACCGTGGTGTGTGTACAGTTAGGTCCAAAGAAGCGCAGCTGTAGTTTTGACATTTTCATAACGACACCAACTTGGGCGATGGCGACCCCTCTCTAGCGCGTCCGTCCGCATAGGCAGCATAGGCAGCGCCATCTGTCGACAGCGCGTACCACTAATCCGCACCCGCGTGCCACGGCGGCCGGCTAGCTCTGATTAGTCAAAAGATAAATTTATTTATTAAAAGAAAAAAAAATACTTTAGGTATTTAAATAAATGTTTTAATATATTTTAATAATGCACTAAATGTTCATTTAGGTGAACACATTTTGTCACTAATTATATTTTTCAATTAAAAATTATTTAGTTAATTAAAATTTTTATATTATTTTTATAAATATATAAATGTACCCCAGTAATTAAAATTCCCTATTTGTATAAATCTAAAAATGTTAGTGTTTTTAGTTTTCTTCATTAGCAAAGGTCAATACACCCCCAACTTGTCCAAATTGTTGCCCAGCGTGAACTGGGAACGGGAAAGGCATTTGAAGTCCGACTGGGAATCGCTCCAACCAGTTACTTTCCTAACTGGTTCCAGTGCACTCCATTCCCAACTGGGAGTCAAACCAGTTGACTCCCAACTGGGAATGGTTCAAACCAGTTGACCCCTCAGCTGGCCCCAGTTGGACTCCTATTGGTCCCAGTTGATTCCCAGTTGGGACCAGTTAGTCCCAGTTGATTCCCAGTTGGGACCAGTTAGTCCCAGTTGAAACCAGTTGAGGTGCCAACTGGTCCCAGTTAGAAATTTTCGCCTGGGAGGCCCCTAGACGCGGTAAACCAATAAAACACACCAGTCGGAGATGCGTTCCATGCACCTTTCAGTGATGTAGCTGTCATCACAGAGCAAAGCGCGCAGACGGCTTGTCTGACTCCCATAACCAATAAAAAAACACACAAAAAAACACGATTTTTTAGAAATTAGGTTAATAAGATTGATTCGTTAAATATATAAAATAGCGCAAGAAAAAAAAGGAAGGCAGGGCACAAAGTAAACAGGACAAGCGCTTGATAAATTTTTATAGAACTATTAAAAGTGAAATCATGCTCTAATCAACCTCGTTCGTTTTTGTTCTCGGTTAACGAAATACGCGAAAATGAAGTCTTCAAGCAAAACGAAACCTAGTCGAATCCAGTGAGTACGTAGTTCGACAGTAGTTCGAGTCGGAATCAAAAATGAAGTCAGCCAACAGCCAAGCCAATAGCCAATTCCGGCCAGTTTGATTTCGTCCCGACTCGAGTTGTCTCGTCTGAATGGAGCCCCGTGCACATGGCAGGATCGGAAGTTTATGACTGGAGCCTAATTTCTTAACAATAATTAACTATTTAAAGCTAAACCTCCTGTCTGCATGATATACGCTATATGGTAGAAAAGACAAAAGCAGCAATGGAAGAGAATGCGCCGCAAAGTGACGACCTTCCGCAGAAAAAACCCGTAAGTGTGGATTCTTTGGAGTTACGAACGAACGAATGCCCAAAAAAGCGTGAGCCCACGGTTTCGCAAATAAATGCATGTTTTTATTCGGCGCATTTTGTTTTAGGTCATGTTTATGGGTCGGAATCTGGAGGAAATTCCCTGTTTGAAGACAGTTTTTCAGACGAGTATCGCGAGTGGGCTGGGCATCGGACTTGCTACATTCATGTTCACGAGTAAGTGTCTGGAATTATCCTTGGATTTTATCATTCCCGAAATCGAGACATAGAAGACAATACAGACAACACGGGCATGCAACTTCATTGCACGTTGAAAGCCTGTGCCGTCTGTATCGTCTTCGATTTCCCTCTTTACTTGGAATACATTTTAGCGCTCAAAAAACAAGGACAAAGAGACGAGAAACGAGAGTTTTTTGAGCGCTAAAATGTATTCCAAGTTCCAAAACCAACTAGCCCAACAATTAACTCTACTGAAATTTATTCCCTCTTTAGTCTTTGAATTCACTTGTCCTTTAAGCCGTTAATGGGACAGGTTCGGCCAAAAGATCTATTACAGTTCAGGTTCTGACCTCTTACCTGTTTTCCGAACAGCCAAAGTTTGCATGTGACTTGATCAAATTATTTTTTGGGCTTCTCATGATGCCATTGGACAGTCTCAATTTTCCTTTCGACTATGAAACATTGTCTCATTGCCTTCGCAAATATTGAAACAATGATCAGTAGCCGCTTGGCTCCAGGTCAAGTGTCCATGTATCTGAACACGACAACAACCGACATATTAACTGTGTATGGCAGACCTCGTAATTTTTTTTTTCTTTTTCAAATAAATGAATTTTTTTTTCTGTTCACTGTATATCATGTTGGCAGTGAAGCAGAAAAGACAACTTTGACTTTAACCCCTTAAGTGCCTTGGACGAGCTGAGCTTGTCGGCCATTTTTGGGCTAAAAATGCCATGGACGAGCTCAGCTCGTTCAGTGGATTTTTCGGTAGCCCTCAATTCTACGGACGAACAAGGCTCGTCCGTGTAGTTTCGCGGCGCTGATCATAGATTGCAGCACTCATATTAGTTGGCAAATATTTTTTTCACCTCCGCTGATTTTTTTGTAATAAACTTTTCAAATTATATGTGTAACACTAGAGGAATAAAAATTCAAAATAAAAGAAATATGGCACTTTTCGGGTGCTTTTGGGGAAAAAAATGTGGCACTTAAGGGATTAAAACTGAATTACAGTTATATTTCATTAATATGAACACACCCCATTCCCTCCCAAAATCATTCATGATACGAGCTGTCCATAGTAACGAGACAAAAATGCATGCATTTACCCAGTTCGTCCCCGAAAAGTGTCCACGTAGTCCGGTATTCATATTAATAGGGTCAATATTAACTAGACAGGGCAGTACATACACTGACATGCCCAATTACATCTTGGTAAGAAATTCTTTGAATCAATGAACTAATTCATTTGGATCACTAAAATATGTTATGCATTGTACTGTGAAGGGGGTTTGCCAGGGGTGATCAATGATCAGATGAGAGTTTCCACTTCTTCCCATTTTCTGGCTCGATTCAGTTTTATCTAGTCATATCCAAATCACATAACAGTCGGACTCTCATACTTTTTTCTAGGTAGGCCTAAGCGAGCTGCTGACGCGGGGTTCTATTCATTCGTCGCCATCACAACCTTTTACTGGTGAGTTCCACGTTCACGGGTCATCTGCAGGCAAAAACGAGGCAGATGACACAATGACAATGGATCTTGCTTTGCAGGTTCTACTGTCGCTACCAGTATTCGGTGCAGAAGTTCAACTACCAAAAGCTGCAAAAGTACATGAAGCATGCCGTAGTCCTGGAAGGCACAAAACACGACCCGACCACGGCCGAAACGACGCCGAAAGAAGCATAGCGCGTGTGAAACAACTGTTGAGATTTTAGGGTTTAATTCATATGTACATAGATTTGGGAATGGGCCCAAGAATGCCACAAGAAAGATGTGACGTTGGTTGATCATTTGTTGTCTCTTGTGGTTGCGCTGGATGTCGTCAGGAGAAGAGTTTGGCATCGCAGTGAGCTGCGACGAGTGGGTCGTACGAGAGAGCGGGCCTCAATTTGGCATGGGGGCATACTTCGTCGGCCCCAAGAACATAATTAAAATTTCTTTCGTCCAAAACAACTTTAAAAAAAATTTTGCTTGTTGCATTAGATAAACAATTACTACCGAATGTTCCAGTGTATCACACTGTGACATTGACTCAAAGTGTTGAAACAAATATTTTGAAGAGCCTAATCAACCTAATCTAAAACATTACAAGGTGCCATATTAGCTAAGACACCCTTCATCACGAGTCTGATGACGGTTTCTTGGCTAGTCTCCTGCTCGCAGAAGCAACTTCAAACTAGCATCCCTAATTCTGCCATTTCTTTCACGACAAGCAAAACAAACTACTTGCTCGCCCACTCTGTCGTCTGCACGGCCTTCTTGGAGTGCTGATATCCCGCATCTTTACGAATGCGAAGTATGGTACACACAGATGATGATGATGATGATGAACCACATGCCGCTAGTCTTCGTCATGTTCTTCCCTTGTCGGTCCTGGACAGTTTCCAGCCATGTCTTCGTCTCCTGAAAACGAACGAGCGAATGAATCGACGAACCTGGGCCAGAATTTCGCGTGCTGCCCGCTGTTCGGATGACCTTACCGTCGAAGTGGATCGCGCACCAGATGCAGTAGTGATGCCGCTCGCGCAAGTAGCTCGTCAAGGTTCTCAGCATCTCGCACGGCTGGAACATGACAGACAAAGGTTTCGATTTGCCGGCACCCTTACACCTCGGCCTAAAACATATGCATGCACTCTGAATGGTGCAACGCAACCGTGACTCGGGGAAGGTAAAAGAGACGAACGTGGAACCATCTCCAACGTTTTCTGATAAGTTTGGTTGTTTAAGTTAAAGTGAACACCCTTTGTCGCGCATCTCGGTCGTGCTGGTTTCTACTTATCATAGTCACTGACGGGATGGTAAGAGCAGACAGGTCTTTCGGTTTTCCTGCCCCCGACACCATCCATTGTGCAGCCAAAGCACAACAGAAGGCAATGAGTGTATGCCAGAGGCCGCGCGTCCAAAAGAGATGTCTTGCTGCTCTTACTCTGTCGGCGACTAAAAAAGCACACATACTAAGCAGTTTAAAGTTCTAATATGCCTAGTAGTTGCGCAACCAGGGAAAAGATGTCTTGTTACAGGCACCAAAAACGGACTTTGCGCGAGTGTCCCGATTATTGTTTGCTCGTATTATAATAGCCCAGGGGCTTGTTAGTGCTTTTGCTGGCATGTTTTGTCTGCACAAACATTCGGCATCCTGACCAATCCGCTGCAACAGAAAATTGGTCGCTTTTCCATCGAACAGCGCCATCTACGACGTCGATGGACCCATTCTGCATAAAGGTTGCGCTCGGTGACAAATACGTGAAACTGCTCGGGAGACCACAACAGGATTATTTGAATTGTGCGGGGTGACCAGGGTAGAGGATTACTCTGCACATTTTCAACGGTGGTGAGCCGCACAAAACTGTCCATTTCCGTGCACAAGCGTGAGCGTGTGCAAAACTCTACGTGGAAGAGGTCCATTGGGGCGTGAATGTAACAGCTAGAAACGACGCTAGGAAGCTGAAAACTGCTTTTGATATTTACATGCGTTTATGTCTGGTTGCAGAACTGTTGGATGTGTCTGCAATTTACTTGAGAGCCTTTAAAAGCTTCGAAATTAGGTAAAACCAAACTGATCCCATGTGATGTGCTCGGCACATTGCCTCATACTGCAAACCTCACTCAAATAGGTTTTTAAAGGTTTGTGCAAGTTTCCGACAAGTGCTATGCTCCGTTTACCCCTAAACTGACAGTGTGGTGGAAGCTTTGTGCCGGTTGGACGAGTCGTACATCTTCACGCACCCGCCTACACCCCCCACGCACAGAGGGCTCAAGTGATGAAATGGCGGTGGGTGATTGGCCCGGCGTGTCTGTAGCTCCTGCTGCACTGTCATCTTACGGCTGAGAAGAGTATAGATAGAACATGTTGGGATATACTTTGTTCTAAGGCTTTCTTACGTCTTCCTCTTCCTTCTCTTCTTCCACCTCCTCATCTTCGTCCGAAGAGTCCTCGAGTCTTCTCCTCGTATCGCCTTCCGACAGACCGTCGTCTTCTGCCACCTCTTCGTCCAAGCAGACGACATTCCTAACGCCGTTGCTCTGGTCTTTGGGTTTCTTAGGGGGCCAGAACCAAGGCTGCTCCGGGTCCTCGAGGTCCTGAAAGGAGTATGTGAAGTTTTGCACTGTTGCACACATGAACACGAGTATATTATCATGAAAAGACTGCGTGTTCTGCGCTGGCAGATAGTCCGGACTGTGAAAGTAAATTTGTGCCGAAACATGCACGGTGGTCTAGTAAATGTCGTACAATTTGTATCGAAGGGGCACTGAAGAGAGCTTCAGATATCTGATAAACAGTAGATATATTTGATCACGGTATCTTCCAAGACCTGCCGATGGGGTTGTGCTTCGAAATAAGCCCCACAGCATCGGAACTCTACGACTTGGGTCCGGTAAGTGCAGTACTGGCGGGAAGTGGATGCCAACTGCTGTGAAGACAAAGAAAGGATAGCTCGTGTGCAGATCTGCCAAACGCACAGCGATGAGCATGCAAGAAGTGCTTTGAGCACACATGTCTCAGTCATGTCTCGTCACTATAGGCACCTCAGTTCTTCTAAAAGAGTCGTCCATAATAGACAAAAATGAGTATTTGCCCTGTTCATTTTTGGAGATGTCCTCTATACAGCGGGGATTTTATATTAAAGGGGCTCGCATTACCAAGACATTACTTTATCGTTTTGATGGAAACCTGCGCTGGCTCGCGTTCTGTGCTGCTGAAAAACGTTCTGTAACAACCGCTTGACTACATGAGAGAATTATGCAAATACCCTGCTTAAATAATAATAATTGTGCATGTACATTTAGACAGCCGGAAGTTCGGCCTCAACAGGTATCTGGTGTTGCAGCTTTAGATGAGAAATTTAGCCGGTGCGACACGACTGCCAGCCTGGGGTCTTTAACGTGTACCACGTAGTACTGATACACGACGCCCGCCGGTACGATGCTTGTTCAGATCGAAATGGGCAGAGGTGGGGATCAAACCCAAGATCCCTGGGTTCTGCAGAGCGAGCTTTCACTCCACGTGCTCAGAGCTGCGGCGTGTGAACTCCAGCTTTCTAATATCTCTACCAGTCGTAAGACGTCTCAATTACGAAACGTCTGAAACTGCCTTCGCTATCCCCTTTACAGACGAGTCGCGGCGAGTGGTGGTAAACAGGCACCTGTGCCAAATCGAGCTGGTGACACGCCCTCTGGCTCTTGCCCAAGTCGGACCATGCCTGGCGCACCAAGGCCTCACTGCGCTTGGCGTCGCGGAAGGTTTGAGCCATGCGATTGCACTCTGCCTCCGAAGTCGTCTTGAGCCGAGCCTCGATCCGTTCCTTGGCTTCGGCTTCCTGTCCCAGGCCGCCCCGGCTGGTCCGCACCACAATGGGGATGGGCTCCTTCAGCGATTTGTCTGAGAAAGAGTAAAGCAAAGTTAGACACTGAGCGCGTAGACAGCGAGGTTGATCTGCTTCCGAGGTACGCTGGCACTGGTTCACTCTCTACAAGTAGATCGTGGGTTCACGCAGAGTACTTTCAGAGGTTCCCTGAGATTCCGAATCGGCCCCTAAGTAAGGTGCATTCCCAGTGTAAGCTATATTTGACTAGATCAGAGCCATCCATGGATGCATAACGAAGTATATATCAAACACTCCCTAGTGTTTACCAGGTCTGTAGTCTTCAACACTGCTTTATGTATTGCATATGTATTGCTGCCATTGGAGCTGGATGCGGGTTTCTCGAGATGAAATAATCTGGGAACCCTCATCCCAGGTAAGAAATCTAGCCAGTGCGGCTACTGAACTGGGCTGTTCTATGTACACCCCATGGTATCGATTTTGACGACCACATGCCGGTACTATACTCGTCAGATTGGAACGGAAAGGAACGCAAGTGCAACCCAGGAATAATCCCTCAGGTTCTACTGCACGAGGTTTTGCCTCAGCAGGAGTCTTTGGCCGTGGGCCACAAGCAAAAAACGTTGCTAGATACCATCAAATGGCCAATTGGAGAACTGCTTGCCTGCGAGGGCTGAATGCCCCAACCCCTCCCAATGTTCATCACCCTTTGACTGAGACACCAGGCTGCGGCTGCTGTTACCGATTCGTGCCGCAGCGCGTAAAAGGTGCGGTGCTTCTAGTCGCTCGAAAGCTTTCCAGAGCACAATAGATAAAAATGGGCCAACTCGGCAGCAGTAATCGGCACCCGTTGTTCTCCTCCAGGACAGTATGGGCACCTTTCCCAAGAGGAGAGATGCTGGTTGCCCAAGTCGAAATTGAAAGGTCTGGGACAGGTTGGCCACTGTGCAAGAAGGACGGCAAGATGTTGACTGCCGCGATCGGCTAGCGCCGCGCTTGACCTTGGCACCGTCGCCGTCTTTCTTGCCAAGAGTCCAGCTTAGAGTCCCCGGTTTGTGCACTTTTACCAAGAGACGGTGGCCGTCCAGACACTTCTGCCGTAAACGCCAGAAGAAAAATGACAACATTGTCCCACAAATCAACCTTAGCCAAAGGGAGGACAAGTCAGACGTTTGCCAAATGAGTTGGTCTAGTAGCAATGGCAAAAAATTACTAATTGTACAGCACTCTTTTTTTTTGTTTAAAACCGGTGACGGTGCGACATTTCTGCGATGTCATTGAGCGACAATCGAGGGGCCACTTTTTAGGACCCTGCGGTAATCACACCAGTTGGAGACGCGCTCGAGGCCCCATACCGCGCCGCCCTCACCTGCGTTGCTCTCTCGACCGAGCCCCATGCCCGGCTTGAAGCCCATCTTGCGTAGAAGGTTGAACCCCTTGTTCTCTTCGCCGAGGGGCTTGCTCAACGCTTCGCTGCGCGTGTCCTCCATGAGCTGCTTGGTGCTCTTGGTCCGGTTCTGCTGGTTTGCCTCCCAGTGCCGCTTCTCGGCCTCATACTTCCGCTTCGTAGCACGGTTTAACACCAGACCTGGCCGGTGATCCTCGCTGCGAGAAGAGACGCAATCCTGTGTCACAACTTTAATGCGTTCGGCGTAATATTTTTTTTTAGCTCTTTACTTTTGAGATACAGGACATTTAACGGAGGGGAGTGAACGAACAAAAGAGATGACAATTCACTCAGCTAAGAGTGAAAGTAAGCAAATGAATAAGAGCGCTTAAAAAAGAATGGCATCAGTAATGGTGACAACAGAAGCAGGAAGGTGGTTCTGTTGATGCTGTTGTTGCAGCATACCAGCCTCTGGCTGCCAAAACTTCTGTGAACTTCTCAGCTGGAGAGCAACCTACAGCAGACCATCTGCCGGCTGCATTCACCTCTGCAGCTGTGCCACCACTGGGGTCATAGTAAGCAACAGCATGAGACTTCCACCATGTCATTAGGCACAATTTGAGGGACCATATTAGTGGATTTATGTACAGCGACGAGAGTTTGTTAAAAATATATTAATTGAATTTAGGCTGCTTTTGCTGTTGAATGTACTTGATGTATTCGGTTAGATGTAAACTTTATTTAGGGGAAATGGCCAAGGTGGAGTGGATTTATGACTGAGTAAATGAATACTGCCCTTAAAATGAAGTGCAACTTGTGCTATGCTGGATCATTAACCCATTTTTTTCTTCTTCTTAATTCTAAGAAATATGCTTATGTTTGACCGAGCCTGGCAGTACTAGTTAAGAGAACCAGTTAGTGTATTCGTCTCTATTTTAGAAGCTTTCAGAATGTTTGCTTTGTCAAATTGCGAAGGTACGGAGTTAATGTGGCGAAACACAACCTTTCATTCGAGATGGCATCGGCCAGCGGAAATTTTGAAACAATTAATTATTACAATCACTCATTGCTAAGTTTGCTGTGCGAACAGTGCCCCAGAAAGACAACTGAATTGTTTACATGATTTTGACCGCATTTTGAGTCGGGTTACACATTCAACGAGATTGACATGCCTTTCCAACGAAATGAGAGTTCGCCAGGTGAGCGCGCAGATAGCTTACCCAGAAGCTAGGAAATCGGCGGACATGTAGTCATCTTCGTCTGCATCATTCGACATCTCTCTTTCCCGAATACTTCCCACGTTACATATAAATAATATTTGGGTACTAAATCGTTAAACGAAGATATCGCACACGACCCAACAGAACCTCTCCCTCGCTCTCTCTCTCTCTTTGGATTAAAGTGGATTGGACTGGATTATTATATAGAGCGAGTTATCTATTTAGCAGACATCAGTGGATTTCGGTTATTTACGCGATGATCAACACATTAACTGGAAAACACATACTAGCTATTAAATATAAGTGTTTAGAGTGTTTATTATTAGTTTATCAGAGGCAAAATGTTTCGGACCTGTCGCCAGCATCGCGACCGACATCGCGCATCAGTCGTCCCGAAAAACGAAAATGGCCACCTTCTTCGGCGAAGTCTTGCCGATTCATTCCCGCGCCGTCGACGACAACGAAGACGAGAACGTCGAAACGCCTAGCGTCTTCTTCGACTTGGACTCTAAGTACGACGACGTCTCGTCCCTACCGGCCTACGACCTCGTCTGCGTCGCGACGGGCGCGGCGCCCAACATCTTCGCGCAATGCTACCTCCTCCCGGACTCGTACCAAGTCCTCGGCAGCATCCGACTCAACGCGTCCCGTCACGACGCATCGGACCCTTCTTCCTCAGCGGTTTGGGGCCTGGATTACATGCGACGGCCCGATACGCTGGGCAAGTTGCTCCACTACGCGGGCCACGGGAACGGCGTCCTCTACTGCGTGTGCGAGAAAGAGGTGCCACCGGAGAACTGCGCCGCAATCGCTCGTCACTTCGTTCAACTCTCCAAATCGACTAACGTCACGTCGGTGTCGTTCACGGCACTGCCGGCGAGCGAGTACAAGTCAAAAGGACGGCCGGAGTTCCCGCTGCTGCGCCAGCTGCGGACGTGCTCGTTCAAGAGCGGCCCCGAAGAGACGGTCCCCGATCTCGAGACCCCGAACACGGTGTCTGGGCTGTCGGCGGCGATGTTGACGGAGTGCGAGGTCGGCGGCATGTCGGGCGTGCTGTACGTGCTCTACTGCGACACGGCTGAGGTGGACTCGTCGGTGGTGAGGGCCCTCGAACCCGCGCTGAAGCTGCCCTGCCTCCAGGCCTTGAGCCAGCCCGTCGAGTCGTGCAGGATCGAGCTGCTGCGGAGGGTTCGAGACTCCAGAATTGATCGGGGGAACTTGTACTTTTAAAAACGCGGGACACGTTTGTTTTTTTCCCTTTCTTTTGAGAGACGGAGAGAGAGGACTCTGTGGGATGGAATGTGTTCCTGCATGATCTATATTCTTTAGTCTTTGTTGTGTAGTTTGTTCCCATAGTTTTGTTTTTCTTTTTCGAAAATAAATGGCCATGCCTACAAGGAAGTGCTACTGCCCAGCTTTTATAGGGTGTTTTCACCTGACCATTTTGTTCGATGACGACTTTTCCGGAGGAAAGGAGGGGGCATGTTACATGGCTGTAGTTTGTTGCAGCAAAAAAACTTTAGAAAAGCTCTGCCCACAAAACAATGGTCGGCTTAGTGCCCCGACACACATTGGGCATTCGGCACACTTCTGTTTTTGGAAGGGTGCTGACGAATGCTCTCTCTTCTGCGGCATCGGAAAAGTTGTTTTGACTTAGTGGCAGATGCGATTTCCTTTGACGAATTCAAAGACTGAACACCTCTGCAATTTTTAGGTTGCGACGCTCTACGGTGGCACCATTACGAGACGGAACACCGACAAACAACGGGCAACTTTCCAGCAACATGCCACAATTTCGTTTTGTTACAGATGCAATGAATGTACCAAGGCTAATAATAAGTATATTCCATTAACTGTTTTGTTGTTACCTAAAGGCACATTGTTACAGGTAACATCGAATGGGCAATTCAGGAAAAGAAGGTAGTATTCAAAAGAAATAGCCTCAATTTTTTCTATTTACTTTGCCTCGCAAGATCATGAACTACGACTCTTGGTCCAGGCACAAGCGATCATAAGAGTTGGGATTGATCTCATCATCAACTTGGTGCTTTATCCAGCGACTTTTGCACGCCTCGCCCTCTTCACTTTTGCTGTATGCTCCTCCGGCCGCCTTCGTTTTCTCGTCTCCCAAAAGTTTAAACTTTTCCAAACAGGAAGAAGCAGTGTTCCTTTAGTCTAATCTTTCTTTCATTACTCTTAGTCTGCGGAGGAACAAACCACGAGAAGGCCGAGGTTTCACATTAACCCTTTAACCACTCAACCCGAGGTGTACTCGTCATGGAAGGTTGTACAATATCGCTGATGACGAGTCGCACTTGTCCAGCCAAAATGATGGTTTGTTTTCACTGCCAAACACGAGACAGGTTTGTCCATCGGCTTTAGTTTCAATTTTCAACACCGGGAGGGCAGGAGAAGTCGCGCAAATATAAGCCCCCTGTATGCAAATAGGCTCTGCGCAAATATTGCGTGTTTTGGCCTTTGGTACGTATCTAGCCTTGCAACAGTGATCAGAGATGGCAGCGTGCTTGAGTGATGCCGGTGACGGCCCTCGGAAACGGGCTCTCTCTTGCGGCAGTTTGAACAGTAGCGACGATGAAGACATCGAATTTGTCTCTGAAAGTAAGTCGAACATGACGACCACAGACCACAGCAAGGAGGGACCACAGTGACGAAGAAGATGACGCGCTGGGTAATGCGAGTGTGGCGATGCGTAAATGCTGAAAACCCGCCACCAGCACCTCCGAGGTTTCCGTTTTGTGCAGTGCCTGGGATTCGGCGGCGACCCACTGACGAAAAAGACATTCTCAACTGGTTCAATGTTGTTTTTTTTTGGATTGGGACCTTGCCAACTTCATTGTGACAGAGACAAACCGCTATGCGGTCCTGCATTTCCCAGCGCGGGGTTCTTGATGGAAACCGGTGGACCGCGAAGAGATGGTGGTGTTCCTTGCGCTAATAATTTTGCAAGGAATCGTTACTTACGGAACTTTGTTAGCGCTGGTACAGAGAAACGTCTAGGCACTTGATCTTTTGTTATGGTGCGTATTTTGAAATAAATACTGCGCATTTCAGCACGTGTTATTCTTACTCTTACATGCACCGAGGGAAAGCTTCCATAAAAATCAACATTTTCTTTTAAGATTTTTGTGTTAATACTTATCAGAAACCAATCAAGTAATGTAATTGCAAAATCGGAACCACACAAAAAAAAATATGTGAAAAAAAAAAAAATTTAGGAAAGTTTGTACATTTTTTTTAAGGATAACTTGGTGGTTAAAGGGTTAAATTATAAAGAAATGCAAACCCCCCTTTCTCTTTTTTTTGGTAAATGCCTGGGCATGTCAGAAGTTTTAATGCGAAAGCATTAACTGTCTCATGGAGCGAGCCGATTTCATCAGTCTGAAACGCGAAAACGGCAGTTAGTTTCCTTCAGTTCCATTGGTTGGCGCGCGTCGAAGGGTCTCCCAATGGCCGCTGCGTTCGTCAGTTTCCATGACCGCTCACCCCATGGCTGCTGCGTGTCCATCAGCGTGGAGCGTTCAAGGTCACCACGGGAACACATGCGCCGACCGGCGATGAAAAGTATGCAGCAGACGAAAAAAGGAGTGGACGAGCGGCTTGCATGCTTTCGCGTTCACAACTCATAAAGAATGCTATAGGTGTACCTGGATCATTTTAATGCAATATTTATGCTGCAACATTCATTAGATATCGTGCTGAAACAATTTTCTTTTGGGAAAACTTTATTTTGTGACATGTGTCCTATCCAGTTTTAAAGAGTTCATCTCAACTTGGGGAAGCAGAGACTGACTGCCCTCCCGAAAATTTATCTAGCCAGTTTGTCAACAACCCAATAGCTGCCAAGCCTAATCAACATAGCTTAATCCATCAATCTTGTCAATTCTACACCATGGATGCCTCTCAAATGCAAGCACAACAAAAACTGTTTGAATTCGTTCCATGACACTGCAACTCAAAAATGCTAGCATAAAGTCGCACAGAAAAAAAAAAAAAAAAAAGGGACTGGGAACACTTGTTTCTTAAATATTTATTCCTTAAACAATTTACAGAGGGGATATGTGATCAACATGCCAGCATAGCTTCAGGCAGGAGGATGCTGCAACACAAAATCCCCCAAACAATGAAAGAACAAAGCAGGGTACTCCATAATGCTCAAATAAATGTAGGTCAAAGGCCATTAATGCAGAACAGTGGTATCCAAGAGGGTATTAAAGGATACACCCTACCTGCAAAAGGGGGGAATGTGCAGACAATTCATTTAGCTCCATGACATTGCACTGAAAAGACCCAGCACTCCATGACCTACTCTGAAAAGCTTAGCACTGAAGGGTTATTCACTAGGAAGCCTTTTATCGAAAGGCATTGCACTTTTTGAAAAGCCTTGCAGTAAAGGGCCATGCGGTTGAAGGTATTGCACTGATCGCCTTGCATTAAAAATCTGTTCTGAAAGTCCACAGATCTGGAAGTACTCAGATATGGGAGTGGGCAGTCCTGATTGTTCCCGTCCTGGATGTTCCGATCCTGAAAGTTCCGGTGTTGGAAGTTCCAGTTCTGAAAGTTCCAGTTCTGAAAGTTTCAGGCCTGAAAGTTTCAGGCCTGAAAGTTCCAGGCCTGAAAGTTCCAGGCCTGAAAAGTTCCAGTCCTGAAAAGTTCCCGTCCTGAAACGTTCCCGTCCTGAAAGTTCCAGTTCAGAAAGTTCCAGTCTTGAACGTTCCACTCCAGAAAGTTCCAGTCTTGGAAGTTTTAGTCCTGGAAGTTTTGGTTTTGAAAGTTTCGGTTTTGAAAGTTCCAGTCCTGAAAGTTTCACCTTTGAAAGTTCCACTTCTAAAGTACAAGTTTTGAAGGTTCCAGTTCCAAAAGTTGCAGATTTGGGATTCCAACCCTCCAAGAAAAAAAAAAAAAAACTGGATTCGAAAGTCCTGTACTACAAGGCCCCAACCGAAAGGTATTGCAGTGCCACATTAGCTCTGTTAGTGGGGTTGCAGTGAATCTTGATCAGGAAATGGGGCCAGACAAGTTTACACTGGGAAGGCTATGTACAACACAAAAATCAATACGAGATCGTCCATCCTTCTGTTTTTTTAACGTCTACTGTTAACTACACTTGGCACAACAAAATTGCACACCGAAACCCCAAATTAAACAAACTGAAGGTATTTGAAAGGGCTGTATTGTTACAATTTGCAAGTAATATAAGTGGCTCAACATAACTTGGCCATATGCACAGACAACAGACGAGTGACAGCAGCTTGCACTACACATAAAAGTGAGGAACACAATTGCTTGACCTGGCCACTAAGACACACAAGACACCCGCATGTTAACAGTCATGACAAGAACCTCTATGAACACCCACGGATACTTGCATGAACTGAGGCATTAATGATGTGCTACCACCTGCATGTCAAGACTTCTAAGCCCAAGCATCAAAAACATAGTCTTGTACAGTGCACAAAAGTGAACAGACAACAGTACCGAGTGAAGTAAGATTGCACTAGTGTATTATAAAACTACACCTTCCAAAATCTACATCTAAAACGAACCATTGGTGCGAGTTTTACATGTGATGCAGTAACAATAGCTGCTGTCTTTTTTTTTTTTTTCACTCTTATAACAGCAAGTTGCTAACGCCATCTCGTGGCTGGCTGGCAAGGTGTTCCCATTTAAAATCGTCATCTTACGCTCTGGAGGGCTTGTGGCAGAACCAACAAGAAACGCATACCAGAAAAAAAGAATTCCTTCAATGCTCTGCTTTGAAGAGGCAAAGCAAACATAAAATATCGGAGCTGAAAAAAAAAAAAAAGCAGTATCTGACAAAAAAATCTTATAAACTTAGGCAGATGCATCTATACTTTCCAAATACACCACTAGAGGACATTACATGCAGCAACACCTGTCTGGGGGTGACAATAATGAGCAACTCTGTCACATTTAGCAAGTTCTAAAGCTTTTGTAAACTGCAACACACAAAAAAAAAACGGGCGTGAACACCAAAGCCGAAAAATCTGACAGTGCCTAACAGATTCAATGTTCAACGAAAAAAAAAAAGAAGTAGCAAGTCGAAGGTGTAAATTGTCATGCACACTTGCACAGTCTTCTTATTCGCACATGCCAGGATTAAAAAAAGAAAATGCACAGCCTCGACATTTCCTTTGATGTTGCCAAACTGTAGACTTAAGTTCAATACGGTGAAGACAGCACTTTCTCAACTAAGGGAGTCATCGGGTGTACAAAAAAGAATGGCGGCCCCCAACACGCTTCAAGAACTTGACTATGCAATCTCAGTAAAGTACAATCCAAAAACTGGTTCCACTGCAGACTCTTATGACTAGAGACATACCACAGTGCTGTCTCTCGGGTTAACAGAAAAATAATATTAAAACGAGGAAGAAAAAAAAAAGAATTCAGATTTCAGTGCAGCCTCACGAGGAAAAAGACACTGGAGAGCTAAAACGCAGAGGTAACAATTTCGAGGGGAACAAAATATTTACAGGCATATAGTACATGGCCAGATGGGAGCAAAGACCAAACCTGCAAACTACAATACACGCAAAAGAAAGAGGCAAGAGCACAAATATACTGCAGAAAGCCTCGAGAGCAGTGTGCTGGCATGGTTTGCTTACATTGTTTAGGTATCTTACTCGCTGAAACACGCAAGAAAGAGAAGGGGCTTTTTGTTTTGTCAATCGGACTTACAGCGTCGACGAGGAAAAGATTGTAGCTAGTGCGTCAAAAGAGAGGCGAGGAACGTAGAGTAGTTGTGCCAATATGCACGAAAACGCGGCGCGTCTGCAAAATACGCGCCTGTGATGCAGCTGGACGAGGAAGGGGGAAGGGGGCGGAAGTGCGGTGGCGCCATCTCGCGGCCGCCAAGAGAAATAAATTACGCGCGAGCGAGGAAAAACGAGACGCGGAGGGCTACGGCTAGCTGCCGTTTGCGTTTCTTCCATCGTCGGGACGAGGCAGCGGCCGCGGCGGCCGCGGCAGCACAGAGATACTGGCAGGAAACGAGGAAGCACACGTTTGAAGGGTTTTCCGAGAAAAGGAGCAAAAGAAACCGGGGCGTGAGAACACAGACGAGCCTCTTCTGGGATCCGGACCATCAAACGTCCACCACCATCTTCTTGTGGATATCCGTGTTGCCAACAACCTGCACGAAAAAAATTAAAATGATGAAGAGGACACCTAGAACACCTAAATTGCATCTGCTACGAGCAACACAACTCCCCTACGCACAACTCGAGAGACTACGACTTCACGAAGCACAACTCCATAAAGGGCCACTCTAAAATGTGCCACTTGACAAAAAGCAACTTTATGAAGTGCCATTCTACAAAGTGCCACTCTACAAAGATCAACTCCAAAATGCGCAACTCCGGCGTGTGACCGGGCAGCCGGAGGGCAAGCACCCACCGAGCAGAATTCGTCGAAGGAGATCTTTCCGTCCTCGTCACGGTCAGCAAAGAGGATGGTCTTGTCGACGATCTGCTGCAGTTGGGCCTCCTTCAGGTTGTTGCCCACCATCATCTTCAGCACCTGGAACAGCTCCCCGTTGGAGATGAAGCCGTCGTTGTCCATGTCGTAGATGCGGAAGGCAACTGCATGGGTGCATCCATTCGCTCGTCACCCGGTCCACTGCTCTCTATCAAAGTGCTGTACGCACATACTTCAGTCACACACGGCGTGAGAATGTCAGGGCGTCTTTTTGGATGCCGGGTCTTTAGCACATTCTCGTGACCTTTTGTCGCGAGACGCCAAAGTGTCATCAAAGGTAGGAAGCTCGCACTAGAGGCGGAAAAACCGAAGAGCCATCCTGCCAACCTCGTCCCGCCAGTGAAGAGCTCATTTGAGCCCGAGTGCAAAGCAGACCCACTCATAACGACCCCATTTACGTAACAAACAACTATTCCGACAAAACTCTGTCATAGCAAATTTGGCACAAACACGTCAAAGCAAAAGGGTCATTGTAACAAACGCTTGTCATAGCAGGCCCTCGCCGTAACAAACACCCTGTCGCGACGAACGCAGATGGGATAGCATAAAAGTTTTGACGAGGATCGCCACGCGCCGATATCAATTTGCTCAGAAGTATTGAAAAAACAAATATCTTTTGCATAAAAATTGGGTTTGTCCTAAGTGGGCCTGGCTATGGAGTTCTTTCAGTATTTGGTTCTTCAGTACCTTCCCTCATGAGCGTGGCAGATCATTTTAAATGGTCCAATTTAAGAAGAACAAAAACTCAGAAATGTGTATTTCTCGACAGATACGGTAACATTCATGTATGAATAGTTTACTAACGAGTTTCCTTTTCATTTGCCAAGGTATGTGCGCGCAAGAAGTTGATTATCTAGCGTATTCGCAACTCCAACGCCATATGGATGGCGGGACGATAGTGCCAAGATGGTGGAAGGGACGGGGATAGATTCTCAATGTTTTCATGTGCGCCTGCTTGCCGACGCTGGTCAGTGTGCTAAACTTAATTTATGTGGCTACTAATACGAGACGGTCACTCTAGGAGCATAACACAGATGACGAATATGTTGACTCACAATAAGAAAATGAGCATGTTTATCTTTAGAAATAGCAGAACGGAACACTATCATTCCTATTTTAACACACTAGTTCTTTTCCGTTAATACTGCATGATACAAGAAGACGTCGATTAGTACGATAGTCCCTGCCACCGTCTCCGCCACCATTCCCACTCCTCTGGTTCTTTAATCGTCTGCGAGAGCGAGCAAAGGGCTGGGGTAGCAAATATAATCAATGAGCTAGCAGAAACTTTATGCAGCACGGCACAAGACACTGCACTGCTGTTGTGTGTGCTACAAAGCCAGCAGATGCAGCACTGATATTTTACTATATATGATACAAAATATTGCCACGTGCGAATAGCCGAGTCAGCAGCATGCTCGACTCCCCCGCTGCGGGCTGGGGTTTGATCCCTGCCAGAACTTGTCCTTTTTATCTTTTTTGTTTACATAACTGGAATGTTCCAGATGACTCGAGAATCTCGGACACTGCTAGATAGCCACACGCTTACAAAAGGAGCTATGCATGGTTGCTTGAGTCTGTCGTCCTCCATCACTGTCAAAGATGTACATTTTTTGTTACTTTATGTTCCTCGGTCCTAGTTCGCCGCATTGAACGTTGATTTCAACTTTCATTAATCAAGTTTATGTTAATATCTGTGACATTTTGGTGGAGGTGCGGGGTAACGCAATCTATGCCCACAATGTGTACCACCTGTGAACTCGGTAACTCCGAAGATGATGACCATGAAGGCAACGTTCCCGAAAACATCCGAGGATGACTCCAACTGTGACTTCAACGACGACTTCCACTATGGCCTCAAAAACGACCCTGACTATGAACTCGGCAAGTCCCTGGCTACGACCTCGACGACAACATGATGCCAACTTCGATGCCAACGATGAAATGGAAAATGATTTCTAAAGACAAACCCCAACTACGACAACAACAACCAGTCCGACTACAGACTTGACTACAAACAGTGTCGTAGACCTTGACGGCGTGACTGACAACGACAATACCAATGACGAGTGTGACGTCAACCACAAAGACGAACAGGACAACGACGCTCAATTCGTCACTTAACGTGCGGAGGAAGTTTGCCAGCTCAGCCGCACTTTGATTCAAGCTGCACAAGTTGCTGACGATCGCCGGTACAACCTTTTTTGCCACGACGCCCAGTTCTAGCCCGGCTACCAAATGTGGACCTGAACACCAACTCATCATCACAGAGAGGAACTGCTAAACTGGTGCTTAGGCCTTAAAGGGGCACTGACACATCAAAATCTTTTTTTTTTTTTTATGCGAAACGATTGAAAACTGGTCCTGGACATTACCCTCAAAATTAAAAAATTCGGAATTCCGTATTAGTGAAGTAAAAAAACAATTTCCAAATGCCGAAGTTGAAGTTCCCGCGCGATCCGCAACAGTGGAGTGACGACAAATATTGGGGGGTCCTGCGAGTCGAGTTTCTTTCGCGCCTCCGCTCCGAAACGTGTATCCGCGACTCGAAGCGATGAGGTGAGGAACAGGAGAGAAGAGCGCCGGCAGACCACGAAACCGGATTCCTGCATGCGTGCCATAGTGCCTATCGCTTCGAGCAGACGACGCTGCCGTGGCGGTGTTACAACCGAAACTACGATACACAGATACCAAACCCAATTGTTCTGACTGTTTGACGATTTCCTTTTCGAAGTCTGAGAGGTCGTCGGGCACCTAAAATTGATCACTTCATTCGGTTTCCCGACTCACCGATCACCCTCTGCTACATACTTCGAGCACCAACATGTTTTCCAAGGGAGGATAAAAATTCAGGAGGCGACATCACAACAGATTTCGGTTTTAACATTTCAAAAAGAAGGGCCGCAGCACATTTGCAGTTGCGTCAAAAAACATGTTTCACGATTGCCGTTATTAAATGTTATACAAATGCGGCCTACAAAAGCTTCTAAATTTCATGATTTTATTTTACGTCAGAAGTCAAAAGAAGCGTGGAGGTGAGGTGCGGGAGAAAAAAACAGCAAAAATAAAAAGGTGCGCACGCATAGAATTTTTTTTTTTTTTGCGATGAGGTATTGTTTTGCGTTTCTTTGACTACAACTTGCATCCTTTTAGACATAAAAGAAAACATGACATGTGGGGTGTCAGTGCCCCTTTAAGGCTTTTCGATACTTGATGGACCTAAACTGCAAGCCATTACCGGACAGAACACAAACATTGTCACGCCGCCTTCTGCGACCCAAAAGTGATTCACGTCATCCCACTCGAACTGAACTGTGCTTGATAGGACTGTGAAGATCTGTGTTTTAGGCGACTCTGTAGTTTGCCGCTCTCTTGTTCTAAGTTGTCAATTTCATTTTGTGTTGCATCGGAACGATGCGTTATTTCAAGAGCGGAGTAATGCGGTGTGCGAATAGCTGAGTCAGCAGCATGCTTGACTCCCACACCACTGGCTGGGGTTTAACCCCCCCCCCCCGCACTGGTCCTTTCTACGGTATCTTCTTTTTGTTTTCATGACTGGAATGTTCCAGATGACTTGAGAATCTTGTTGTTTGCTCGAGCTCAGAAACTTCTAGATTCCCACACGCTTACAATAGGAGCTTCGCATGGCTGCCGAGTCAATCGTCCTTCTGTCGCTGCCAAAGCATGTATGGTTTTTGTCACTTTATGTTCCTCGGCCCAAGTTTGCTACATTAAACATTCATTTTAAGTTTTATTAATCAGGTTTATGTTATTATTCGTGACAATATTGTCCCAATCCCTCGAATGCATTGGCCATTTGCTAAACTTCCACAGTGCAATCCACTTAAACAATATTGAGAAAACCCAGAAATTCAATCGTTATAACCAATAATTGTTGTATCTGGTCTAGAAAATGAGCGTTTCTAGTCCAGAAACCGATTGTCATAAGCAGTACATCGTTATATGTGGTATAGTTATAAGTGGATTGCACTGTGATTGAACCGGTCAATGCTTCACAATTTCGGCTCGACTGGATTACACAAGTTTACGGCAAGTTGCACTTTTTCAGCTTTGAAGAAGCTGGCTTCTTTCACACTGGCAACTTGGTCTGGTCGACAATCAAGAACAGGAAAAAAATATGCCTTGTGTGTGTAAATCTCTTTTCTGTGTCTATCAATTTTAGCCGCATTTTTCCTCTTTATAATTATGTACCAACAAGCCCAACTAAATGCCTTGTTACATCAAATGATATGCTTTCGGTCCCCAGCATTCTGAATGCAGAGAAGATAACACCGAATGCTAAGACGGTGCAACGAGCCACTTTAATCATTGCCAAACCAGACTCACATCTCAGCTTGGATTCCTTGTCACCCTTGACGCTGAACTGCGAAACACCTTGAATAAATTCTGTGGGGCAGAAAAAAAAAATACAATGGTTGTTTTATGGACGCGGAAAGAGAACCACAAGTTTGCGCGGGACTTCAAGTTTACAAAGCCGAAAACTTAAGCAAGCAGTTTACACTCAAAGACAGTGTGTGGTTCGAGCTACAGTTGAGGACTGTAAAAATATTTGATACCTGGTAGAAAACAGAAAAAAGTTGCCCCAGCTAATGAGCACTGTAGGCGTTATTCAGTACCGAGAATGCCATTCCTAAGGGATTGTCAATTGAATACCACATCAATATTTCAGCATTCACGGTGCCATTGAAGTGATCCTGCACTGCTGCTGGTTTCTATGAGAGCTAAGAACTCATTGATTGAACGCGGAGCGCAAGTTTGTGTGCTTCTTGTGCAGGAGTTGCGGTGATGTAAAATCCCCGAGCTCTGATCGGCTCTGATTAGAGGATAGTGGGTAGACCTCAAGGCAGCTAGCATTGCAGTCTACCCACTATCCTACCAATCAGAACCAATCAGAGCTCGGCGTTTCGATGTCACTGCAACTCCTGCGCAAGAAGCAGACGAACTTGTGCTCCGCATATGACGCTACGCGGACCAGTCAAAGACGTGTTCCAGGAACCATACTAGCTACGGTTCATGTGGTACAAGTAGGTCTCCGACCGGTCTGTTTACCGCGTCCTCAAAAGTGGTCCCTCGATTTCTGCCAGATGACATTGCACAAAGCATTAAGTCTGCGGCTGTGATCCTGGTGGTGTCACAGTAATGGTGGTAGATGTGACAGACGCCTGTTCTGCGGTGGGTCGCTTTCTTGCTGGACAGTCCCCAGAAGCTTCGGCGGCCAGCAGTCGGGACCCCATGACGACGACGACACATGCGTTCATTCAAACATTTTGCCGGGACTTCTAGCACTGACCGCCAGGATCACAACACCTGACAACATAACACACCATCGTCCGTGACGCCGTTCATTGCCACTTCAAAACCACTTTTGATGCATCGGTGATGTACTACGCCAAGCACGCCAGTCGGAGACGCGGGGGCTAGACAAAACAGACGGTAGGGCAGACAAGGAGGAGGAGGCAGACCTTTGAAATCGACCTCCCCGTTGCCGTCCGTGTCGAAGATGTCGATGACACGCTGCACCAGCGGGTTCTGCTGCAACTCGGGGAGGGACATGAATTCGTCGATGCTCAGCGACCCAGAGTTGTCCAGGTCAAGCTTCTTGAAGCGTTTGCCCAGCCGCTTTATCTCGTCCGCATCGACTGTGCCGAACCCACCCCAAGGACACTCGGTGTTAGTTCGGTTAGATCTGGTCGTTGACGCTTAATAGACTTTCTTCAAAATTCAGTGCCATCTGGTGGCTCATAAAGCAAAGTCCCTTTTGAAAAACTAATAGCGGACATGAAACTATTTTGTTGGGGCACTGCCCCTATTGCAAGTCAACGGCAGAGGAGAAGTGGTGCTTCGATCATCTCATGATTCTTTCTTGAATTGTTTCAGTTTCGATGGTGTGAACATAACACAACACACAGGCCTCGTATATTCCCCACTTGGTAGCATCCCCTACTTCCTTCGTCAGCCTCAAGAGAGCCGCCATTAGTCGGGCACAGATGACATACACCTATGATAGTGATCAAAGTTGCCAGACTAAATTTCGAAAAGGGTCTAGTACCCAAGCATCAAGGAGAATGCTGGGAACGTAGGTACACATGCTGAATGCGCTTGCATTAGCTTTGTCAAGAATTCAAAGTAAATAACCAAAATAAGGCACCAACAAACACACGTGGAAGGTGCCCTTTGTTTGGGGTTTTTGCTTTAAAACAGTCACTGCTGCAGGCGCCAGCAACGATACTAGATCAAAGTCAGTTGACAAGCTTCCTGAACGCCTAGTGCCTTTTCGTGGGGCGTCTGCTCCGTGGTGCTCGCTACGCTTCCAGCCTGTCCTAGAGAGAGAAGTGGCGGAATTGGTGGAATATCTGATGCACATTAGCTGCAGTGAAAAGTGATTCTATTGAGTTTTTTATGATAAACATAAAGTTTGCGCAAAGAGAGCATCAATCGAAAATGGTCCTTCTTCGTTGCCTGAGAAATGCTATCCACCTGTAACTGCTCTCGTTCAGGCAACAGGGAAGAACCATTTTCAAACTATGCTTTTCCGTAGCGCTTGTCAACTGATAGATCTAAGAACGTTGGGCACCAGCATGCACAGTGAGTTATTAACATTCGTGCATGCTCGTTGGCATTTTGCTAATTTCCAAATAGGTCATAAACTCTTAAGACACTGTTTATTTGTTATTTTTTTTATCAGCCCAGACATGCACATATTAGAACATCAAAAGAAATAATATGGGTTCAGACATATGCATTTGAGCATGACCGACTGCTTTGGGGCTCCTTATGTTTTACTGCGAAGCGCTGTGTGCAGTGGCGTCACAAGATCAGAGGCACCCGGGGCGGTAGCCGCCGTGACCCCCCCCCCCCTCCCTGCCCTGCTCCTTCGTGGCCCTCTCCGACTCCCCCCCCTCCCCCTCTCTCGCGCGGCCCTCTGCGACTCCCCCCCTCTCTCGCGCGGCCCTCTGCGACTCCCCCCCCTCTCTCGCGCGGCCCTCTGCGACCCCCCCCCCCTCTCTCGCGCGGCCCTCTGCGACTCCCCCCCCTCTCTCGCGCGGCCCTCTGCGACTCCCCCCCCTCTCTCGCGCGGCCCTCTGCGACTCCCCCCGCTCTCTCGCGCGGCCCTCTGCGACTCCCCCCCCCCTCTCTCGCGCGGCCCTCTGCGACTCCCCCCCCTCTCTCGCGCGGCCCTCTGCGACTCCCCCCCCCTCTCTCGCGCGGCCCTCTGCGACTCCCCCCCCCTCTCTCGCGCGGCCCTCTGCGACTCCCCCCCCCCCTCTCTCGCGCGGCCCTCTGCGACTCCCCCCCCGCTCTCGCGCGGCCCTCTGCGACTCCCCCCCCCCCCGCTCTCGCGCGGCCCTCTGCGACTCCCCCCCCGCTCTCGCGCGTCCCTCTGCGACTCCCCCCCGCTCTCGCGCCGCCCTCTGCGACTCCCCCCCGCTCTCGCGCGGCCCTCTGCGACTCCCCCCCCCTCTTGTGGCCTGCCGTGACACCCCCCCCCTAAACGCTGCACCCGAAGCAATCCGCCCGCCCCCCCCCCCCCCCCCCCTTTGTGACACCACTGGTTGTGTGGAGTTGAAATGAGGCGGCGCCGTTGTGCAAATAGCATTTGGAAGTTGAAACGCTCCTGGCATTGAACTAGGTTGAAGGTTTTGCATTATTTGTGGAAGTCAGATCTATGCACTATCTACGAGCAATGGTCGCTCATAATTAAGATTCTGTGTTTTCGGAGTTAATTTCTGGCGAAACTTGGAGGTTCATTTTTCGAGTTATTTTTTGCCGAAAATTCAGAGTTTATCTGAGTTTATGATAGATTCACGATTCTCTGGAGGTAAATTTTGCTGCAAGCCCAATTTTTTCAAAATTCAACATAAACACAAATATTATTCAGACACAGACCTGCCCTAAATTCTTAAGAACTCACCCGTATCGAATGACATACCTTCAACTAACTTGGGTATTTGCAGTCTTACCATTATTAATACTAAACGTACAACAACAAAGCTTGCAAACAAGTGTTGCTTTAATCCATCTTACCACGTAACCCCACACAGCCGCAGAGTGTAGTGATGGTCAATGCTTTAAAGGGGCCGTGCAATAATGCTTGCACTTCGGTAGTTGTTCCCTATCACGTCTGGACTAAAGAACTGAACACCAATTTCGGCAGCGTGCATTAGTTCTTTTTTGTTTAGGAATTGTCAAACAACCAACATTTTGGGTGCCTCCGTGCCACTCTCAACTCTCACACCATCTTCTGAGTCACGTGCGCAGTGACGCGCAATGGGGAACATTCTCCGGCTAGGTTCTCTTTCTAAGCCTCCAGCGCACGTGGCCTCCGCTTGCGATTGACATGGCGACCCTGAAGGTTGGTCTTAGCCTTGTCTGAGCGATATGGAGAGAGGGGGCAGGGGGGCAGAAGGCCAAGTGCGAGCCTTGTTCAACGGCCTTGTTGTAAGCCAGTTGAACTGCAGTAGCAGCGCAGGGTAAGGCTCAAGAGGGGAATACTTTTCTTCACCTAGGGCAGATGGCAACACTAAAACTGAATATAGCAAAACTTTGTTGATGATATGAGGTTTTTGATGTATTTACTCATGTTGAAACGACAATATAAAATATAGTGTTATATCGAGCACATAATGCCACATCTTGCCAGCTTATTACAATGTGCCCAGGAGTGTGTCACACCTTAGTTCCCATAGCCGCCACCTCGCGGCTGCAAATTGCAAGATAAGCGGTTTCTCTGCCTTTTTTGGCAAGATAAACAATGCAAAAATTAAAAACTGCAAATTATTTCGAAGTTCAACTTGTTGCATCGCCCCTTTAAACTCTCTGAAAATTTTGACGCAGTCTCTGGAAAGCTTGCTTCCTTTCCATCGCTTCACCCAGCGGTTGTGCGGCGAGATGAAACCTTTGGCTGTCGTCTATGATTACAGCATTCACTCTTACAGGAAACACAACCCTGCCTTCCTGTAAAAAGCTCAAACTGATAACTACTAGAACAGTGGCCTTTATTATGACCCAATAGTCCGGGATTTGAGAGGAAACCGGAGAGGCCTCCCTCAGGGCCACCAACCCAAGTTTATTTGTAAAATATTGTTTCCTCTTTTTTTTTTTAAATCGACATCATGGAATTTAAATTTTGAGTCATTCGGATAAATCCAAATTGACAAAAATTTTACTGGCGAGTGTTTTTCGGATTTTATTGGATTTATCTGAAAACACGGAACCCTACTTATAAATTTGTTGGATTTATTTTAAGTCCGTGGTGGAAGAATGAGGGAAAGTGCCAGAGCACCACACAGATGGTGCCAGTGCATTATATCGTCATTAGAAGACATAATACAGCCAGCCACACTCAATGCAAATGCCTTAAGCAGCCTTGGATGCTGCCGGTAGTGAATTGCCAATCAAGCAAGTAATGTTTCTTAGCGCTTGAAAGATTGCATCTGCTGAGCGAAAGGGGAAGTAAGCATGTACTTGCTTTGAGAAAAAGCAACACACTAAAAGTATGCCAAGTTAAACTTTTATGCGAGAAAATAGTATACTTCCGAAAGCCTACTTAAAGTTTTGAAGTGAGCTAACAGTACACTAGAAATATACTTCGAGCGAACACACCATTGTTGCCGGACTCGGCCGACAGAAGTGGCAGAGTTTGTAAATGCAAGCAGTGCACCACAATAAACACAAAATATGCTAAAAGTATTATTAAAAGTATACAGCCTTGTATTCAAATACACTTCCAGTTTATTTTTCTGTTTAATTTTAAGTGCAAAATTGGCATACTTCTAGTGTATTGTTTTTTACTATGACTTGTATCCATCACTGAATTAAAAGGAGTATGATGTTGCCAAGTGCTCAACTGCCAATCGAGTGATTAGTTTTTCTTCGCATTGAAACTTTTTACGTTATGACGCAAGATTATCGCATAATCAAACTCACAGTTGGAGCACATCTCCATCGGAAGGGAGCTTTCGTTTCCCTAAAAGCCAGAAGAGAAAGAAAAATAAGCTTGCAGTCGGATTAGGTGGAACACACAAATCTGCTTTAAACAGAACCGAAAAAGAGAACACATTTTTTACACAAGCCCATTCCCAAGCAGAAATAACCAGATATGGGAGCAAGCATTCAAAATGCTCTTTCAAGGTGATTTTCCCGATCTGTCATAAATCGCACGGCATTCGTGAAAGACCAGTAAATGTGCAGGAATTTTACTCCCTACTCATTTTGAAACCATAAAAAAATACCCCGACCCCATTTTTTGGTCACTGCCGCTCACATTTTCCTGGACAGTGGTAATGATACCAACGAATAAAATATCGTGCGTTAACGCTCATACTAGACTGATTATAAACCCAGATTAGCGCTGAAATTCGCGGGCACCAAACACATTTTCCGGTCACCGCCACAGTTGGAAATGTAAATTTTTTATTCGGGATTCTGTGCCTGCCAAAAGCGCATGCGAGAATGTTCGACGAATTTAATCACGACTTTCGCCGACTCATCCTAAATGAAACGTAAGGATTCAAGGACCCGGCGAAGCAGTGGTGCAGATAGGAACAAATGCGAGGCGCCTGTCCCGCCCACCATTTTTGTTTTTCGATTCCAAAACCGAATTTCAAGGCTTTGTTATCTGTAACCCTCTCTATCACTGGACTGATCTCGCTTTCAGTTTATAAAAATCCGCAAGCATATCTCCTTTTCCTTTTGAAAACCGCGATAAAATAAATCGCATTTCCTAAAAAAAGTAAAGAGAAAGCAAACACAGTCCGCAATGCCCTTTTGCAGTCGGTGTCTCTGTGCGGTAGTAGGAACCTGCGGGTTACCGGATTACAAGGATTAACCGCAAACGGATCAGCCTAGATTAGTGGAACACTTCGAGCTTCGACGACTAGACTGTAACGATTCCTAGGCTTACGAACATTTGCGCTCGTTTTCTACGGAGAAATGGTAAGCGGGGACGACGTATGTATGTTTGTGCGTATGTGCAAGCACTACGTGCATTTGGTCACAGAACCGTGGGATGCGCACGGACTGTGGGGTTTCTCCGTTTTCATTTTTTTTACAAAAAGTATTGTAGAGTGCTCAAGTGCTCGGGCTTACCATGATTGGAGGCCTCGTCTGCTCACTACGGTGCGAGAAATAGCTAGGCCGCCGAGGCTTTCGCTATGAGGAAATAAATTGCTACGGTTTTCCTCTTGGAGCAAGATCAGACGACTCCCTGGATGAATAGACCAATTGTAATTGTTCTACTTACAATTGTGCGGTAGGTTGCGCTACCTAGAATGGGCTGATTTAAAGTTAGTGGATAGATACTTTTGATCAGTCTTTTTGATTTACAGACTTTTCTAATTGATTGTTGCGTAGGAAAAATATATTAAAATTATTGATAAGTTTTTTTCGAATCTACTGACGCTTATTGAAGGTATTTTTGAGCTTGTTGAACCGTTTTTGACTATCATCATCATTACCACCAAGTGCTAAGTTTCGTATGTCTATTTTTATTTTTAGTAGCGTCAAGCGTCAGCGCGTGTTGCGTTGGTTGCACTCGATGAATGAGTGAAGCGCAGACGATAATTAATCTGGGATTCCTGTTTACATATAACGCTTGCGAATAGGTATACAGTCACACGTGCCGCAGGCGGTCGAATCGAGATGTCAGCCTCGCTGGAGCAAATGTCGGCGCTGTCGCTCGAAGACGGTGGCGACCACGCAAGCACGGAGCCCGACTGCGACGTCGTCAATCCTTGGAACGTCGTGAGCGCTTCTACGACGGGAATCGACTACGACAAGCTCATAGGTACATACAAGTACTTCCCTGTCACAACACTCGTTTTACGATCTATGCGACTAGTACTTTTATTTTGGGTGAGCAGTCAACATCGCGGAGAAGTTGCCGGCCGGTGTGCTGGCTTGGCAATAACTGTCGACGTTGCATTTTTGTTTCTCCGATTTCTTTTCAGTGAAATTCGGGTCGTCTAAAATGACGCAAGACCTCGTGGATCGGGTAGAAGCACTCACCGGCAAGAAGGCGCATCACTTTTTACGGAGAGGAATTTTCGTATCGCATAGGTAACCGCACCCCCCTTTCTCTTCAACTTGTAATCTTTACGATTTTTGCTGTTGAAATCATTTCGCTAAGTTGTCTAAAGCATTGGCTGACAGACCACCTTAAAAAAATCCGTATGCTTGCACTCAATGCACGAGCATGGTGGTGACGTCAGCACTGGAGTCTGTTACATGTGAAGAATAGTAGGACAAACTCCTTCCAGAAAGCCTTTCACTCTTTCCACTTTAGCAGAGCGAACGCTGGAGGAGAGGGGAGCGGAGGTAACAACATATTACGGCGAGCAGAGAACTTTGTGGGAGGGGCTTAATTGTCCTGCTATTCTAAACCTGCAACAGACTGATGGCCAAGATCAAACGGCTGCGGTGAGTTTGACCCGCCAACTCGCTCTAATTTTCAGGGAATTCAACGAGATACTCAATATCTACGAGCAGAAGAAGCCGTTCTACCTCTACACTGGGCGGGGACCGTCTTCGGACGCCCTTCACGTCGGCCATTTGATTCCGTTCATCTTCACAAAGTAAGGTGCTGCTCGTATTCATTGTAGATTCTTGAGCTCATAAGGTGTCCTTACGGATTTTATGATTACAAAAACCAGACATAGCTCCCTTATCAAGTGTTTCCGCATTATCATAAGTACAGGAACGGCCGCTCTGTTTTCAGAAAGGTATACAGTAAAATACCAGGCAAGCGCCCACTCAAAATTGAGAGATAATTGCTAAACGATAAGTGACGGGCGCATGTCTGGTCATCAATTTTACATATCAATCTACTGTGCATATTTTTTTCAGATCTTACATATTTGGGTATGGGCGCTTAGTGTGGAATGGGCGGGTGCGCGATATTCTATGGTACATTTTTTTTTTCGTGGAAATCAGTTGTAGAAGATTCAGTTTGTTTTACATTTTCTTCTTTTTTTTTTTTTTTTCTTTTTTTTTAACTTGCACATTAGGCGTTTTCTGTTATGGTCCCTTCCACTATGTATGCTCATTCACTGCACAAAAATGAAGCCAATCTCGGAGCCGTCCTATGTTCTCGCCCTGAGGAAGGACTGAGACTATTTGCTACTGAGATTAATTAACCTGTTCATGTGAGTATGTCCTAAACAAACTTAAATTTCTCCCATCACCCTCTGGATTGATTGTGATCTCAATCCGAACGGCGTCCCAATGTTGAGGTAACTGAACTGGACAAACTGAAGGCCAGCTCGAAGCTAATTTCATTCTACCAACCATGCGGTGTTGGCCCGTGTAGTTCACGTCTTGCCATCGCTCTACTTGTGCAAGTTCCTTTGAAGGAAGCCCGGCCGATCACAGTTACCTGTACAACTTCTCGGCACAAAGATGCCTCGTTGGTCCTTGCTCCGTGCTTGCTATTTATCCAGTTGGATCATTGATGATCAAGAAAAAACAAGCCAGAAAATGTTCTTTTACGGATTGTCGATTGCAGGTGGCTGCAGGACACGTTCGACGTTCCGCTCGTCATTCAGCTGACAGACGACGAGAAGTTCCTCTGGAAGGACATGACTGTAGAGGAGGCAGAGAAGATGGCGCACGAGAACATCCGCGACATCGTTGCCTGTGGATTCGACCCGGCCAACACATTCATCTTCACCGACTTCAAGTATACCGGGTGGGCAATCTGGATGCAATTTGTGCAGGCTTGTTTGTGGTGCGGTTTAGCGCATCGCTTGGTGTTGTCCGCAAGTTCCGTACTCATACGATCGCTGACAGTACCGACGGCCGTAGTCGTGTCCTCTTTGCCACCGTTTTTGTTTCCGCTAATGGCTTGGCTTCAGGCGTCGGTTTGCATGAAGCCAATTCATGCGCCCAACGCGTCGGCTGCCAAAAAGCCTGTACCAACCCGTCTGTGTTACATTCACTCCACTTTAGAAGAAAAATTGGCAGTGACTTTTATATGTAAAATTCTACAATGCATGAAATGCGGTATATTTGAGGTGAGATTGTTTCAAATTATTTAAAAGGCGTTACAGAGACATCGGGGTGGACGTTTTTAGCCGACGGCAGTGTCCACAAACGGGCAGGAGGCGACAAACCCTTTGTTTTTTCTGACTACACAGACCAAGCTATTAAATTTTAAAAAAACAATCAAAAGAAAAAAGTAATTTTTTTTCTTAAAGAGTTTGGAAAAATTATGAATATATTACAAAATAAATTTTCCGCTAAAAGGTTTTTTTGTCGAATTATTTACAGCGTAGACTCGTTTTAGTTTACATCTTTCAAACACGCAGGCCAAAAAGCGGTACATTACGTCACCACACATAATTGGAGGAGATTTAGCCAACAAGAATATTGCCCTGGGTGTGTACATAGGACGTTATGTACCACTTTTTGGCGTGCACGTTTGAAAGCTTTAAACTCGAAGCTTAAAAAGCTTTGTGCAAAATTTATTTTGTAATATTTTTAATTTTTCTAGGTTGTTTGAGAGCATATTGTTTTCTTCCTTTTAATCGACACTGAAAAGTGTCCATTAAAGGGACACTGATCATTGCCGATTTGCTGCTCGCAACTAACCCGTGCGCGTAAAGTGCGAGGGACGGCAGAGAAAGAGGAACTTCCGCCTCGATTTATCGATCCGATATTAGCTCCTACCATTTGGCTTATTCATGAATTTTTCTCTTCAGAAAGCAGCCGGCAACGTCATGGCGGCGTCGCCCTCTTCATTCTTAATCTTGCCAATAACGAAAGAAGAAACTGCCTTTCCGGTTCAGATAGTCATGACGGTGATCGTAGTGGCACCGATTCTTTTCACTCTATCGTGGCCGCGGTTGCTGGCAGGAGGACGGCAGCAGGCCATGTCTTCCGGATGCCTCACCTTCTGCCGTGCTTACCTTCCACCATGCTTTGGCTGCGCGTGCACGCTTGAGGCTCGCGAGACGCTGGAGCATCATCGGAGGTAGAAAGCTCGCGCCAGAGGCAGTACGAGTGCAGGGCTTCCCAGCCGCTCTCGTCCCTTTGGTGACCGGGGCTACTCCCACAAACCGTTGAGCCGGCAGGGGTCTGCCGAGCAGGTTGGCATCCGACACGTGCGCGTCGGTGAAAAAAAGGTAGTTAAATACCGTCGCTTGTCGCTTGCTCAGAAAGTGATTGTGTACATTACTCATTACCGAGATCCAAAGGAGATGCGTCACTTCAGCTCGAAAGTAAAGCGCAACTTTTCTCGTTACTCTGGATGCGTCGTTTCTTCGAAGCGGTAACCGACTTCTAACGTTTCATGTCGTTAACGATGCGCGACTTTTTTAACGCGTTTGCAGGCATCTTCATTGTTTTCTTGCTAACACATTTTTTTTTCTTCTTCTTCTTTCCCCATGAAGGTTGAGGGCGCGAGCTGGGGTCTGGTCTAAATAGGGTAACTTTTGTCGCACAAGTTCCTCTCCAGAAGTTACTCAATACTACCATTACTCGTTGTTCCGTCAGAAAGTAACGAAAATGCGTTAGTTGTTCCTGTAACTACAAGTAACCATTGTAATATCCCAAGAGATAGCCCATCTAAAAGCGAGAGCAAATTGGACGAATATGAGGAGTGGACTAACTTTCGGTGAGAAGTCGAGAAAAAATAAAAAATGCTGTTTTTGTATTTTGCGATCTGCCAAGCTTGTTATCACATTGAGAGGCAATGGAGTATAGGCAACTGTCCTTTCCAGTCAGCATTGTTTGCTCGTCTCCCTGCGTAGGTAACTAACCTCATTTCGGCAGAGGTCACCATTGGCGAGGGCACTGCAATTATTAAAAAATAGGCTATCTTTCGGTGTTTAAAAAAAAAAGAAAAAGGGAATCGTGTAAGAAATAGGAGTCTGCTGTCTTTCAGGATGCTACGTTAAGTCTTTATTTTGTTACCGAAAAAGTAACTAAATAGCAGTACTTGTGCATTATTTGTAACGCATTACATACAAGTCTGGTCGGCGCCTGCCGTGCTCTGTGAGCCGCTGATACCTGACCTGCCCTGCTCTGTGCTTGTTTCTGCAGGCAGTGCCCCGAGTTTTACAAGAACATAGTGAGGATTCGGCGCAGCGTGACCTTCAACCAGGTCAAGGGCATCTTCGGCTTCGGAGACAGCGACTGCATCGGGAAGATTGGCTTCCCCGCTGTGCAGGCCGCGCCTTCCTTCTCCTCTTCCTTTCCCTTCATCTTCGGGGAGCAGTCGAGAGTGCCGTGCCTCATTCCCTGCGGCATCGACCAGGTGACGTGGACAGACGTTCAAAAGCGACTCTGGTTCCTCTTGGGACGCCCTTCGAATTCTAGCACGTAGCCGTCGGAGGTTTGTTTGCCAGGGTAATCGAACTGTAGGGGATGCCTTGTTGAACTCGTTTTCCACATAGCTTGCCGTTTACCCAACAAAAGGCTTGTGTACTATATTATTATTAGGCTGTCTACTTCGGTCGAATGGGGGTCACAGTTTAGGCACAAGTGCTGTGAAAGCGCTCAGTTGGGACTTGCGCTGTATTGGCGTTTCGCCGATCAGAGCCGAACGCTGACTCAGGATTTGGCTGCATCAGCCGAGCACGGCGATAGAAGTATGAGGAAATTATTTGTGCCGTTGTCGCCCCATGGGTTTATTTTTCATTTTAGTTGCAAGGGGCACAATGGTTTGATCTCCTCAATAATCTCAAACTATCCACTTTAAAAAAAAAAATTGCACTGCACCAAAAAACATTTTTTAATACTCCCTTGTACTCCCCCCCCGCTTCCATACCGCTCCCCTTTAGGGGTGGGGTTCGGGGTGGGAGGTGCATTTTGTGTCATATGTACCCTATGGGAGGCACTCACTTGATCGAATGACGTTTTAGCGAACGCCCACATTTCACCGAATTACACTTTAGCGAATAGTCGGACGCCGCGAAGCGGTGTTTTCGGGTGGGCCAAATGGGTTCACATTTTTGTAATGAGCCGCCACAGACTGTCGCCGGCGAAGCGGCGTAAAGCGCAGCGTGGTGGATGGGTTAACGCGCGCCCCCGTTATTCGCTAAAACATAGATTCGCTCAAACGTCGCTGTTTGCTAAAATGTCATTCGCTCATGTGATATGGACCCGTACCCTATCCAGGTAGTTTCTAAATAAATGTTTTTTGGGAGTGCAAGGAACGCAATGTGATAGATAATTTGGGTTACTCTCTGGAGCATCATTTTGGGGTAATGCAGTGAGTAGCTATCTGTGGACATTTTTTTTCTTAAATAGCCAGAGAATTAGTCCTTGCATGTTACCCATTCATGCAACATGCTTTGCCATATTTCTAAGTGTGGAGGATAATGTGGTGGTAATTTTATCTATGCATTTAATACAACAAAAGAGACAATGGAGTGTTCGTGCATCAAAAAACAGTGAAATCCCTATACACCAAGGTTCTAATGATAGGCACTGTTTCATTTGCTCCTTTTGACAAAAGTGCCACAAGACAAGGACAGAAAGTAAGAGACAGAGCAGAAGCACTACTTCCAATTGACTGTTTATTGAAACAACACAAACTATTTATAGACCCAATTGGGCTTCTCTAACAGGAATTCAAATTCTTTATCTGTTAAATGAACTGTCGGGGCACTTTTGCATGTGTCACTCCCTTGCATTCTTACAATTCTTTCGAGATCTTGTTTCTTAAATTCCCCAGAATTTGTGTTTTTTAAAGTTCAGGAACACAAGGGCATCTGTCACAATCAATAGCCAAATAATATTATAGTCAACTAAGCATCTGTTTGACAGGTCTTTGAAAGTCCCCCGTAACCTCCAGTTCAGCAAACGGCACCGCACAAAGTCTCCCAGTCTCGAGCTTGATTTTTTAACTGCGCCATCATCACGGAACCAGATACACCCCCACCTGCATGCGCATCACTTTGAACACTGAAATCGTAAATGTAAAGCATAAACCGTGAAGTGTAAACCGTAAGCCATAAAGTGTAAAGCACAAAGCATAGCCCGTAAAACGGCTCGTGACTGTGGCCGTCACCGTGGCCGTCTCGTGAAACGTTAAGGGAAGCGTGCCGTCACCTTCTTTGCGCAGGACCCTTACTTCCGGATGACGCGCGATGTGGCGCCACGGCTGGGTTTCCCCAAGCCGGCGCTGCTCCACTCAGTATTCTTCCCGGCGCTACAGGGCGCCCAGAGCAAGATGAGTGCCAGCGACCCTAACTCTTCCATCTTCCTCACAGACACGCCCGCCCAGATAAAGAATAAGGTGAGTTTTCGGTTGCCCGAATGCCCTAGAACAGCGAGAGACCGGCCATGCCATAGAGATAATGTAATAAATAACCTAGAGGGAGAGGTCCCATACATTTCGACCGCTTCGCGACGGCAGTGCGTAGGTGCGGACATTGGCAATCCCCATGAGATCGTATCGTTGGCGCCACCTTGATACCCACAAAGATGCAGGAAAATATTGCTTGCAAGGTTTGCAAAAAGAAACTAAACATCGTTACTCGCCAGCGCTCTAAAAGTAGCAAAGCATGTTACTTCTACGGAGATTCAAAAGGAATGCGTTACTTCAGCTCAAAAGTAAGGAGCTACCTTCTCGTTACTCTGAATGTTTGTTTTCTGAAGTAGTGGTCACCTTCCAGTGCCTTTTTTCGTAAATAATACCTCGCTTTTTATATGCCTTCGTGGTCATTCTGATGGTGGCAATAGATTTTGCTATGCTGTCATACTTCGTGCACGTCTTTTAATCGTCTGTCTGACACTATTTTGTTGTGGAAGTCGAAGGTGTGAGTCGTGGGTGAAAACCATATTGTAACTTGCGGTGTACATGTTCCTCTCCAAAAGTAAGTAGATACCGTTACTCCCTACTCCATCAAAAGTAACGAAGATATGTCACTCGTCCCTCCTCTAGAATATGAACCGAGTTGTTACTTCATTACTGAAAATGTAACCAAGTACAAGTAACGCGTTATTTGTAAGGGGTTGCATACAACTCTGGTCTGTATATAGTGTCTTTTCTAGCAGGATTTTACACAAATAAACAGACGTCGCGCATTCTATAAAAATGAGCAAAGTTGACGGGCACTCGAATGACCTCGTCACGTTGCAGCAAAGCAAGCACGCCCACCTTGCCGTCTGCTTTCTTTCTCTGCTTTTCTGTCGCTCTCTTTTTCATTTTTCCCCTCGGGGCCGTCGAAGTTGGTGCCTACGATTTGCCGCATTCCGCTTCCGTCTTTACCCCTGTGTGCTCTTCCTAAACGTAGGAGTGGGGATGTCGAGATCCTGTTAAAGGACACATGCAAAGAGAAAAAAAACATTTTTTTAAACAGCTTAGATGGAAAAAGGATGTCATTAAACAATTTTACAACAAAGAAAAAAAAGTTTTAGAGCTATATTTACGGCGCTATACAAATTTGTAGTTGGCACCCGCGGGCGCCGCAAAAAAGTGGCCCTTATTTATCACCTGACTGGCCCTTATTTATCTTGTGGTGCTTGCGCTCTTTCGGAAGCTTCCTTTGGCCTCCAAAAGTAACTTATCCATCTTTGTTTGAAGTATAACAAAAAAAAAAACTAAGATTAATAAGTAACTTTTAGAGCCCAAAGGAAGCTCCTGAAGAAGCGCAAGCAGACATGACAGACCTGTGCGCCAGTCAGATGACGGCGGCGGCGTGGAGATACGCGTTGAAGCGGTGTTGCACAACGCTCTGCATGCGGCGGCGGCGTGACTTTGCGGCGGCGGTGACGCAGCGTGGCGGCGCACAGGCCTACCATGTGACCAGCGGCGGTTCTCGCGGCGCTAACTACAAATTCGTTTTGTGCCGTAAATATAGCTCTAATATTTTTTCTTTCTTCGTTGTAAATTCGTTTTATGATATTCTTTTTCCACTTAGCCTGTTTAAAAAAAAATTTTTTTTTCCTTTGCATGTGTCCTTTAAGGTTCGAGCTCGACAGTGTCAGACTTCTTTCTAACTTTTTACGCAAATTTGACAAGAGTTGGACTGAAGTTTGAAAGTTACGCACGTGTTTCAATGGTGTGAACGTAAGAAGCGACCAGGACGAAGCAGAGACTTATGAGCCCTTCGATTACATTTCCGCCGTCAAAGGGCTTTAAAGCCAAATTTGTGCCGAGAGATTGATTGCACCACGTTCTGAATCGAGCGCTTATGCAACCGCTGTATCTAATTTGTGCGTCGTCTCATACCAGTTTCGAACGTACAGGCCTCATATATTCTCATATACTACATTCCTCCGCTCGTTGGTGTCTTTGACTTCTTCTTTCGCCAGCTTCAAGGTCACCATTTGTTTTAAGATACCATACACCGAGATGACGATAGTGGTCAAAGTTGCCAGACCAAACTTTGAAAAGGACCCAATGTGGGACTTGCCCGCGTGGCGGCAATCGTGACGTTACTCTGGTGCTCTCACTTTGTGTTAGTAACGGAACTGGCACAGTAGTCGTGTTTCCTCTCCTTTTCGATTACAAATGTTGGCCATTCTGGGATTCATCGTGCAAGCAGTTATTAACCACGCATCGGCTCGACTTTTTACGGCCGTGTACCTTACAACTTCAAAAAACTTTTTACAATTTTATAAACAACCATTACTTGTAGACAGTACATATATCTCATCTCGCGAATACAGCAAAACCTTTGGTCTAGTGAAATGCAGTTCCGGGGTCAGCTCATAGATAAGGCCAGTATGTTTTCTCATCCTAAAAGGTCACAAGACCTCAATCGCAAGCAAACACAATTGTGTGATTGTGCCTTAAAGGAACACCGAACCAAAATTTGGAGCTTCCAAAACAAGGCCGGAGCGACGGGCGGAGACACTGCAAAGCCCCAAAAACATTGCTCGTACGGCAACAGCTTTAACGGATGGCCATATTTTTTTTTCCTAAAAGAAGCATGCGATTAACGGGGCTGACGAGGTACAACGAGACATGTCATGTTGCGATTGTCGTTCCCTCTCCTCTTCGCTTTGTCCCCTCAAACAAGTGAACCGAGGCAAGGAAGAGAGAGGCTAGGCCACTTTCCCTCATTCTCGACTGTTCAGGAGAATTGCGACGTCACATTCCTCACTCGTTGCACCCTTTTTTTCCGAAAATATGGCCATCCGTTTGAGATATTGATGCATGAGTGATATTTGGGAGTTTGTAGTGTCTCGTTCGACGTTTCTGCGGCCATGTTTTGCGAAATCCCAACTTTCGGTTCAGCATCACTTTGACAGTGGCAGCCTTTACAAACCTGCCTGTAGTCACGCAAGAGTCGCAGCATCATTGCAATCGCTTTTCTCTCTCCCTCGTGCGCAGATCAACAAGTATGCCTTTTCGGGGGGTGGCGCCACGGTGGAGGAGCACAAGGAGAAGGGAGGAAACTGCGATGTCGACATCTCCTACCAGTACCTGCGTTTCTTCCTCGAGGACGACGAGCGGCTAGAAAAGATTCGACAGGTACTGACCTTGACCTTTCCAAAGGGAAGCCAAATGGCTTCCGAAAGAACCGAGTTTAACGTGCATTCACACTCAGTCTGTGTTCTGCACTTCTAAGGTGACGTTCATTTGCTCTATGAGCATCGACAAATTTTTTAAAAAGGCGAGCCTGAAGTGCAGGGGGAGCAGTTCTTAGGTAGCGCAGCTCCTTGGGCCAAAGTTTTGTTCTTTTGTCTGTAATGTTATAGGCCCTAAAATACCCAAAGAAATCAAGGTAGGGCCAAACTCGACCTTCCTTGGCCAGAGCCTGGGTGTCTTTGCCCTAATGCACCAAACGAGTGACAAAGTTGGGCTTCACTGCGGGTAGTTTTGCTATCATCTGGCATCTCCTAGCCTGGCACTTTGGCAATTATTTGGCGAGCCATTAGAAAGCCATGGAAACACCAAAGAAAAGTATGCTCTGGAACTAACTAATGCCTTGGAGCGAAACCGTATTAGGGCCCCTAGGATTGCCAAGCTTGTGCCAAGTTAGGCGTCTCTCTGGCACGCTGCCTGGGGTACCTTATTCAATAGGGGGGGGGGGGGGTGGAATTGCAAATATGTGCAGTAAATTACAGCGGTAGGTGTTAGTGCCCATTCCCGGCCAAAAAATGCTCATGTACAAACAGAAAATTCCGCTCTACAGCAAAGGCACTGCTCCCCCTTTCCCTGTTGTTCCTCGCATACGGCAAGGATATATCTTTCGACCCCCTCGCCCCCTTCCCCCCCTGTAGGCTGCCACTGTTTCAAAAAACCTACGTGATCGCGGGGGGAGCGCTTTTGCTTCCTTCCCCACCCCTCCGGCTGCCACCGTTGCAAAACATTCGTGTAGTTGTACCTTGCTCACGCGCTCCCTCACCACCGCACTGCCGCCCCCCAGGTTCCGTTCTCGTGTGCACTCCGCGCCCCTACAGAACAGCCCTCGTACGTACTTTTGCTTCTTCCCCTGCGGGCGCGGTCACGAGTACCCCCCTTCCTCGAGGGTGTTTCAGCCAAAAAAAAAAAAATGCGTCTCTGCGTCCTTCTCTAACGCATGCAACATCACGCACAATCTTTTCCACCGAAGCTCATATCTCCTCACACGCGTGTTCCACGTCAATTCCTCTGATAGCAAAGAACCTACCGCAAACATTGTACAGCACACTGCCTGAGAAGAAATCTCCTTCAACATTCCTTTTCACTATGCAGCAGCTACCGCTGTCAATCACAACACACTTTGTGTAACCATCCACATTTATTTAAAATTATTTAATTAAATACGTTATTGTCATTGGCAGGATGGCAATGGCAGGGCATGTCTTTCAAACGTCCGACTTTCAGAACTTGGTTTATGCCTTCCGCCATGCATTGGCTGTGCACATGCTCTAGAGGTGCATGAGATGTTGAAGCATTGTCTAAGGTACGAAGTTCGCACTGGAGGTGGGAAAGCCCCTCGCTGCCATTCTAACCCTGTCTGTGACTATAATGGGAGAGTTGTGTGAGCATGCCAGCTTTAGAATTGGTTAAACGGGGCCCGACTTGTACCTCTCGCCACGTGACGTCTGCATCGTTGTAGAGTGCGTTTTCTGTGACCGGAAAATGAAGGGAAGCATTAAAAATATTTTATGTATAAAAATAACCAGTGCCAGTTATGACCGCGAAATTAGTCGAATATGCATTGGAAGACTTCTGGTAACCCGGAACGGCATATATTTGAGCCATTTTTCTGCGCGTGGTTTTTCAAATTGTCATGTTGGCTGCCATCGCGTTTACATTTACAAGTAGACCTAGCTGTCTGCTTTCCATTGCAGTCTTCTGTAGCTTCAATTTCTCACAGAAAATTGTGCAGAAAATGTTGTTTTCCCCTTCGCGAAAAAACATTGCTGGTAACATTCGAACGTGCTTTTCTCTTTTGGGGGCATCTTTACGGTTTCCACGCAAGAATTTCTGTCTTAAATACTCTTCTATCACAACCAAATTTGGCATGCATGTACTTTAGAATATGTAGGATGCAACCATCTAGGTTCAGTTAAATATATATTTTTTAGGGGTGTGCGAATATTGAAATTTTCAAATACAAATTGAATATGAATATTTGAAAATTATAGCTTTGAATATCGAATATGTTTCAAATATAAATGTACTACCACTAAAAAATAAAAAAATGAGAATACTTTTCTTATTACCTTCAAAACCAAAAATGATGTCAACAAATTCAAGTAAATGAAACTGCCTGACTAGGCAGCCTAAAAACAAGGCAACTGGTAACACAGCTATTATAGACTAGTAGTCACCTGTCAACTGTACATGAAAGCAGGCAAAAGGTGCAACTGATTAGTTATACAAATTGACAAAATTAAGAGTCTACAAAACTGCACATGTCTAGATAGCATGTAAAAATGGAATGGTAGTGACCTTTTTTTAAGAATATAATTGAAATTTCCCTTGACTAGTCAGGTCGCTGTCTGCAGGAAACTCATCTTAAGAACACTCACACTGATATTTTACGTCGTCATTGTGTTTTTAGGAAAGATTGTTTGTCAGCCCAGTCTTCTGGTGGCTTTGCTGTGGTTGTACAGAGAGGAGTAGCATGTGCTTCGTACACCACTTGAAGCTGCTGCAACTCGTGTTTTAGTTGACTGTCTCATTACCATTGTATCGTTACATCTTCCCCCACATGTTCCACTTCATATCCATGAACTCGAAGGTCTTGTTGATTAGCTGCCAGAACCCTTCTTAATTTTAGGCGATTTTAATGCTCACAATCCTATGTGGGGCAGTGACCGACTTGATTCTCGTGGCGAGGTCACAGAGCGTCTTTTGCTGTCTTCAGGTTTGTGTCTTTTAAATAACAAAGAGCCAACATTTTACAGTGCACCTCATAACTCTTTCACATCCATCGACCTGTCTATTTCATCACCCTCATGGTTTTCTTGGAACGTTTTAAAGAAACCTTTTGGGAGCGACCACTTTCCGGTAATTTTAAAAAGCAATGTCGCACTTCCTACCATTTTAAAGCGCATTCCTAGGTGGAAGTTAGAAAAGGCAGATTGGGGGCTTTTTAAATTAAAGGCAACGCTGGATGCTTCACTCCTGGCCAGTTTGTCTCCAGAGGATGCCACATTATATGTCACCGAACATAGTATTCCTAATGCAGCTTTTGAGGCTATTCCGCAGACTTCTGAAAACATGCCGAAGAGGTGTAAGCCATGGTGGAACAAAGACTGAGCATCTACAAGAAAAGAACAGCATAAAGCCTGGGATACGTTCAGGCGGTACCCTACTCCTCTCAATAGAAAAGAGTTCAAAAGGAGAAAAGCAAAAGCTCGATGGACGAGGAAACAAGCTAAACGAGGAACTTGGATGAAGTATGTCTCTTCTGTCAATAGTTTTGTCTCGTCCAAGGAAGTGTGGGATCGATACCGCAAAATCAAGGCTTGATTATCATGTTTTTGTGATACCTCTTTTCCATTCTCCTACAACCTCGCTCAGAGATGTGGCTAAAGTCCTCGAAGAGCAGTTCCACAATGTTTGCAGCTCCAATAACTACCGGGCAGAGTTTAGACAATTCAAGGCTCGTGCAGAACGCCATCGCATTAGTATGTCTGGAGGAAATACTGCCGGATACAACAAACCTTTCACAATGCATGAACTTAAGTTGGCTCTTAGTCTTAAGAAACAGTCGGCCCCTGGCCCTGACAGGATTCATTACGAGATGATTCGTCAGCTGGCCCCAAAATCTCTGGAAACTTTTCTTTGGTTTTTTAATCATCTGTGGACGCAGGCATACTTTCCCCAAGCCTGGAAGCAGGCTCATGTTGTCCCATTGTTGAAACCTGCTAAAGACTCGTCAGTTCCATCCAGCTACTGCCCTATTGCACTTACGAGCAGTCTTGGCAAAATATTTGAGCGGATGATTAATAGGAGTCTGGTGTAATTTCTTGAAATGCAGGGTTTCTTCGATCGGAACCAGTGTGGTTTTCGTGGAGGGCGGTCAACTGTTGACCACCTAATGCGCCTGGAAACGACTATACGTAACGCTTTTGTAAACAGACAGCACTGCGTGTCAGTCTTCTTTGACTTGGAGAAGGCGTACGACACGGCATGGCGGTATGGAATACTTAGGGACCTGTTCGCATGTGGTTTACATGGTCGCATGCTCTGTGTTATAAAAAGCTTTCTGTCTAACCGAACATTCAAAGTTAGACTAGGTGCCACATATTCATACCTTGAACATGGTTAAAATCGCGCACAAAGAGACGGGGACAAACGAGGAAGGAACACAGAACACAGACAGGCGCACACTCACAACTCTAGCATATTAAGTGAAGAAGAGAAAGATGAAGCACTATTTTTTACAGGGGACAACGTCACCAGGGGGAAACAGATCATCCGCAGTCAAATGATCTCAAGAAGGCAACTTCTTTTTCACTCAAAGCAACCGACGGTTGTCCCCTGTAAAAAATAGTGCTTCATCTTTCTCTTCTTCACTTAATATGCTAGAGTTGTGAGTGCGCGCCTGTCTGTGTTCTGTGTTCCTTCCTCGTTTGTCCTCGTCTCTTTGTGCGCGATTTTAACCATGTTCAACGTTTACCAACTCGCCCAACTTACTACTCTTCTATTCAGACCTTTTTATTCAGGAGAATGGGGTGCCACAAAAGGGGGGGGGGGGTCTTGAGCGTTACACTATTTGCCGTGAAGATCAACTCTCTTTCCAAGGTAATACCACGCACCGTGTCTTACTCCTTGTATGTTGATGACGTTCAAATATCAGTTTCTTCTTGCAATCTCTCCAGCTGTGAACGCCAGCTGCAGCTCGCAACAAATAAAATAAGTAAGTGGGCCGACGAAAATGGTTTTCGGTTCCCTCCTGAGAAGACTGTGCGTACCATTCTCTCTCAAACGTGGAATAACGCTTGATCCATCATTGGAGATCAATAGAACTTCCATAAGTAGCCGAAATGAACACAAGTTCTTAGGACTCATTTTTGATAGGAAGCTAAATTTTATTTCACATTTGAAACAACTGAAACTTAAATGCCTAAGGTCTGCTAATATCCTTAAAGTCTTGTCACACAGGTCATGGGAATCTGACAGGAAATGTCTGCTGCGCCTGTATAACTCTCTCATGAGGTCCCGCCTCGATTACGGAGCAGTAGTTTACGGATCGGCAAGGTCATCGGCACTCAAGATGTTGGATCCTGGTCACCACCTTGGCCTTCGACTTGCCAGAGGGGCTTTTCGGACATCACCAATCCTCAGTTTATATGTAGAGACAAATCAGATGTCGCTGGAAAAAAGACGGCAATATATTAGCTTGATTTACACCTACAAAGTCCTGTCTGACCCTAACCATCCAACATACCGCTGTGTGCATGACTTTAGTTCTTCCCTTATTTTTCAAAATAAGCCTATAGTATTGTGCGGCCTCTCAGTCTTCGCCTTGAGGACATCCGTCAATCTCTTAGTCTCGAACTGAATGACATAAGCTTACTCGAAAGGACCGACACTGTTGCGCCTTGGGACCTGCTGCCAGTCAGCTGTGGTGGGTGTTTCACCAGGTTCAACAAACATAACATTTCTTCAATAATCATCCAGCAGGAGTTTCATGAGGTACTAAAAAAATACAAAGATAATGCACAGTTTTATTCCGACGGGGCAAAGACCTCCTCTTTTGTTGGATCTGCTGTGTACTCTGAATCATTTGCGAGCGTTCAGCGGTTGAACAGTGTTGCTAGTATATTCACTACAGAACTTCAAAGTGTATTAACAACAGTGGATTATATTATAGAAAGCCATATTGAAAGCCGTCGTGTTTGTTGATTCTCAAAGTGTTATAACTGCGATCAGCACTGTAAAAAATTCAAAGCATAATCTCATCCAGCTTGTGCGTGCAAAAATAAATAGGGGCCTACGAAAGGGGCATGACATCATATTTTGCTGGGTACCCAGCCACGTTGGGCTCAGTGGCAATGAGAAGGCTGACAGGCTTGCGGCCTCTTCCAAAAACTTGCTGGAAACACGTCTGCAGCTACCACATCAATACCTGAAACCTATTTTTAGGGCAGCAATTTTCCTAATATGGCAAACAGAATGAAACCACCAGCATGACAATAAGCTGCACTCCTTCAAGCCTGTTTTAGGGATATGGGAGAGCTCTTCCCATAAAACCCGGTCTCGTGAGGTATTACTGTCGCTTGAGGCTTGGTCATTCTTATGCCACCCATGCTTACTTGTTGCATGGGGCAGATCCACCTTCTTGCGAACAGTGTGGTGAGATCTTGACGGTCTGGCATATTCTCGGTCTCTGCTCTGCCCTCGCACAAGAAAGACGCTCCTGTTTTCCGGAATTCGCAATGTATTGTATTCCATTTCATCCTGCACTAGTGCTTGGTGAGCAGCCGATTATTCCCTTTGATGTGTTGTTATGTTCCTTGAGAAAAAATTTTTTGCACAAGTTCTAGCTTTTCCAACATGCACTTTCTTTAGTATGTGATCACAACAGGTGATTAGGTCCTTCTAAGCATTTTGTCTTTTGCCCGAGTATCTGACTTTTACTTCTACACACTCTACCTTTGCTTTGCGCAAATATTTAAGTTTGGCGCAGTATGGCCACGTCGCTGTTGCGCCAGAAAGCCCCTAATTAATCAATCAATCAAAGGGTTCATAAAAAAATGGCTACGATACCTGCAATTTTAAGCGACTGAACACAGCTTTTAAGAAAGCTCTGAATGTTCAGGACATTTTCCTTGAGTGGATTATTCGCTATTTGGCCAAATATTCATACCTTGCCCGAATATTCGGCCACAACCGAATATTCAAAAATTTCCAAATATCCAATTCTCGTATCGAATACGAAAGACATTCGATTCATATTTGAAATCTCAGATATTGGCACACCCCTAATATATTTTAAATTTATGAAAAATTTAAGAAACTTTTGTTGGCTCCTTACAAACTTTTGCGATTTTTTGTTGTTTTAAAATAAGCTATGTCTCTCTCATGTTATTTTTGTTGTTCATTGCACTCAGTGGTTTAAGTGGTGTGAATTAGTTTATTTTATGAGGCTCTTTTAGATGTGTTGCCATGCCCTATGTGGTCTGCAAGGGTATGATTTTTGCATGTGCATTCCATGGAGAGAAAAAAAAAACAAGCTATATTATACCTAATGCCAGATTTAGAAAAAAGGACATCAAGCACTATAATTTAAAAGATTCATTTGGTTATCGTAAATAAAAAAAAATTGTTTTCCCGTTTAGCATGCCTTCCTAAAAGGCATTTCAAATATGCACTCAATGCTTACTTGCACATTTGTTTTACACTCGACTGCTTAACTCGACAGGCAAGGGGTCATTAGGGTGGGGCAAGTAGTCGTATGGTCATTTCCTGTCGGTGTTGCCGTGGTTACTACACAACATTGCTCTGGGGTCTCTGGGAGTTACTCTGCCCTACTCCTGCTCTGCGAGAGTTGAAATCCGAGGGCTGTGCACCTTCTCTCCAGGATTACACCAGCGGGGAACTCCTCACCGGATTCCTCAAGAAGGAGCTCATAGAGGTGTTGCAGAAGCGGATTGCGGCCCACCAGGCAGCCAGGAAGTTGGTCACGGACGAGGTCATAGCCAAGTTCACTACGCCTAGGCCACTGCAGTTCAAGAGGCAGTAGAACTGTAGGCATGTTGCTTTACTTTTCCAAGGGATAAAGTTTTTGAATTTCAGTAGTTTCTTTTTGCCAAATACTTTTAAAGCTGGTGACATTCAAGGGAATGTGGAGTGGAACAAGTGTAAAACTATGGACAGTGGAGCTAGCTTTTAGTCATCTCTTCCGAGCTTTGACCGAAGAAGTAGCCAGTCGCAGCTCTCTGGTTTGGTTTTTGACAGTTGCTTCCTTCACATTCTTAGTTTTTTTTTTATTGCAGTCTCTTTTGAAGATGAACTTTTGTCGTGGCACTGGTTGGAACTGTTTCGGTTTGGATCAGTTTTTTTGGTTTATTATTTTCTACTGTGTGGTTTATGTCTGGCTCGTACCGTATTTACTCGAGCAATAGCCGCACTATTTATGAACAAAGCCCCTGTGTCTACTTTCCCGCAGAACACATATACAGCCAATACATACCAGCAGTGTGGCTATTACTCGAGTAAATACGGTATGTGTGCTTTCTTACCTGGCTGTGTTAAAGGCCGACGTACACTTCGCGCCTTCCCCTTTTTCCCGCCTCCTCCTTTCCTATACCCTCTCCACTTTTTACCTTGCCCCAGCCTGGCTCCCCCTCGCAGCTTAGGAGAGGGGAGCGCTAAGAGGATTATCTTCCCTGCAGAAAACCGAGGTTGTACGTCGGCCTTTAAGCAAACTTGGTGCTTGTTTTTGCGGCATGACCGCACAAGCATTGTCGGTTATTAGGTGCTGCATGGAATTGTGAACTGCAACGAACTTATGCATTAGTGTTTGTAAACAAGCTTGCTACCTGCCGCTTTCAGTTGACCCCTCAGCACTTCCAGCTTTCTTTTTTTCTTTTGCGTCCTTTTAGATAACTTGCTCAAAGCACTCGCATATATCTCATGCACATTACAATTATTAGTGCTCAAAGAAACATAGCTTTATTACATCGCTGTGCACTATTAAAAAATGAATAAGTGCAGTACCGGAAGTCTATTGAATATGAACAACTGTTGTACCTTCGTGCAATCAACTGGCATCAAATAAGTTCTGAGGCAGATGTCCTTCTCAGTCTAATTTTGAGGCCCCTTTTATTGTTATATTAATAGAAGCCCTCTAACATAGTGTCAGGGTAGGGCCCTGTGCTTGCTAATTTATTAATGCTTTAATGACTACCTGCATATATCTTTCCATAAGTTTATGTGACATGTATAGGTAAACGTGTACCAGTGCACTCTTTTCAAGCCACTAGAAAACTACTGAATTTCCTTACCTTTTCTTGCAGTTTGTCAGAAGCTTTTTACAGGCGACCCCTTCCTATCAAAAGACCTGTGTGTCCAGCTTCTTTTAGCTGCATTAAATGAATGAAATTGACACGAAAGATCACAGGCTCCTCGCATAAATCCCAAAGTGCTGTGCACTCCTGGAAGGCTGGGAACTGTGTGCCTCCCCACCTGGATCATTAGTGCCACAGCTCTGATTCTCTGATTTTCTGTTGGCCTTCTCTTTACTAGTCTATTTGTTGCTCTATCTCCACCTTAGCTTATTCCAGTGCATTTTTGAAAAATTGTATGTACCCATCTTGTTCTCGTTTGTTGTATTTATGTACCGGTGTTAACCAACGTCTTTATGGCCGTTTTACATTATCGTAATGTTACCATCATTCTTTGCAACCTGCGAAATGTTAGATACCGGCATTTCCACATTTCAGGACACAACTGTAACATACCCACATTTTTACAGTCATGCTCGCAGCTTACCAAGTGCTTATACACCAACGCGCGGGACTGACGTCCCTGAGCTGCGGCGCTGTGCGATCGCGCCGGATCGGCCAGGCGGGCGAGTTGTTGGCAAACCAGCGGGTGCTTTGCACGTGCGACATAACCTTTCGGCATGCCGCAAAGCTGCTTGGCTGTTGATTGTACCGAAAAGTACTGCAAAAGTAGTGGAATAAGCTTCAACAAGTTCCAGGTAGGTGCTGACAGACGCAGAAAATGGATAACCTGCGTGGATCGAAAAAATGTTCGCCTCGCAGGGACGACCGCTTGTGTGGTAAGCCTTCACTGAAGGTAAGTGCGTAGCTTCCACTGCAATCATTGTTTCCAGCACTGAGGCATTCCTCTGCGTAGGGACGTCATCTGATCCAGATGACGTCTAGATGACACAAGTTGCCGCCCAAGAGTTCCTCGGCTGCTCGCTACACCCAGGCACCGTAAGGTGTAGCAGCTGCCCGTTGCAACGGCATTACCTTGGCTCGGACGACGCACAACGCAGTGCTTTGAGGCATCCAGAGCTTGCAGTCTCGTACCAAGCTTGTGTTGTAAAAAAGTGCAGTTAAATTTCCTACACGAACGACTCCCGATATATTCGCATGCATAGCGCTCGAGCAGTTCTTACCAGACTCAAAGTAGTTGTCGGCCTTGAGAGACTTGTACGCTCACACCATGTCGGCCGTAAATTAGCTCGGCGAAAAGACCAGCCATTGAGGCTGGCGGCAGCAACTTTGCCGACGTGACACCGGAGCGCCAGCGCTCCTTGCTCACGGCGTTGGGATCCTCAAAGACGACGCCGTCGACGCACAGTTTCTTGCTGTATCGCTGCTGCTCGGGCTCCGACAGTAAGTGCCAATAATCGGACATAACTAGTAACAGAATACGACACAGAAAAAAAAAAAAAAAAAGCTAGAAAGGCCTCGGCAGCTTCGGTTAGCGAATGTACGGCCCGCATTGCGATGGTGAAAACATGGCGAGAGCAGCCACTGTTGCCTACACCCCTCCTGCTCATGCGCAGTTCTCCTGTCATGTTTGTAAACGGCACGCGCCGCATGTCGGTGTATAAAATTCCCGTAATTCCTATAGCTGAATTTCCTACATTTTATGAAATGGATGTGAAATGGCCATAATTTTAGTCAATTTGCTAAATGATTGCAAGAGCTATTGCTTTTAGAGCAATAGCTCTAAAAGCAATAGCACACAATTGCACATGCACAATGCAATGGTGCAATTGCACTTGGCGCAATTGCATATGGTGGCCGAGTAACCAATGCGTAACTAGTCAAGCTGCACAGATTTGGCTAATCAGTGGCCAATGGCTGACAAAGGCCTGCCACTGGCCGATGACTGGCCTTTCTCTGGCCATTGGCCAATGACCATCAGCCTAGCATTGGCCGATGAATAACCACTCTTTGGCCATTGTCCAAAAGATGATCGCCAGTCATTGCCCAATGCTTTGCCGAAATCTGTGCCACTTGAGCAACTTGTGGCCCACCACACACCTCTCTCATTGCCTCCGCCATTCCCACCGAGTTTCAGCAGAGGCATCAAACGATACGTGCATCATGCAAACGAAGAGAAGAGGGAGATGGTGGGGCTTCATAGAAGATTGTCGCTCTATTCTTTATTCAGGGACGCTATTCTTTTGCTCTTTTTTCGAGCTCTCTGCTCTAGTCAAAAAAAGAAAAAGAAGATGCTAGCTCTATTTTTAGGTTGCTCGTTCCAAGCGTCGCCATGTAGTCACTATGAACAAAGACGCTATGGGCTAGATACGATTAAAGGTTTGTCTGCAGCACTGCTGGCACCCCTCGATGCGCCGTCGGCACCGAGCAGATGTCCAAACGGCGGTCGTTTCGCAAAGATAAAACCTAGGCCTTTGAGCACGAGTCTTCGGCAAACAAGAGTCAGTAGTAGTGCCGAAGAAAACAAAACTTGAAAACCGTCGTCGTGGACGACTAGAAGCACCATAGCTTGCGTGTCACGAGCGCGTATTTACCGCAGATTTCGCTAACTGGCGTGCAAAACTCGCCCTACCTGCCCGTGTCTACCACAACGATCATATCGGGAGGATGGCAAATTAAGGGTGAATTGCATGGCAAGCATTATTGGCTCTCATTTCCCTTGCCTTTCTTTTTTTTTTTTTTTTTTTTTGCACTTTAGTACTAAGTTTCTTCATGGATTATTTCCATAATCTTGCGTTGTTTAGCGCTGCTATCCAAGACCTTGTGAACTTTATGGTTCTCAAGACGCTACCGTGATTTCCCTCTGGTGTGGAACGGTAGAGTTCATTGGCTGCATTGGCAATGACACATTTTTTACTATTTTAGACAGTTAATTTTACATAGAGCTTTTTGTGTAAGTCTTATTTATCGACAATTTAAGAACAGAGTTCATGACGGAGGCTAAATTAAAATTGGGCGACTCGCGGTTTGTCACAACAATGAAGCACTGTCTTTAAAATGGTCCTGGTAGGTTCTGAGTGCCTTATATAAATTCCCTTCTAATGACATCTTGTGCAATTTACCACACAATTATTGATCATGGTGTTTGGAGGTGCGATGTACTGCAACTGATGTTTCAAGCTCCCGAAGCTTATTCATTGCTTGGGGCGTATTCCGTGACCTTCCAGTTGGGAGGAACTGGCTTGAAGTGTGAGGTCATGTAGCATGCATGGAGCGCCGGATAGGCAAACGTGGCTCGGAACGTCTGTGACAGTACGTTTTAAAGGGGCCACGAAACAAATTTTGGGCTGGGTAAATAAATTTATATTGCGATTTTACTACAGTAGGTTACAAGTCAAGAACGTAGCGGCAAATGCCTTTTAAAGGGAATCATAAATCCCTCTGCCACCTCCGCATCCAATAGCCTCCCATCGTTTCTGTGACGTCGCGGCCAACGCGCGAGGAGGGTCTTGCCTTTCTATACATATTTGCTTTATCTTTCGACTTTGACTTAGCATTGTGTACTGTCTCGTGCTCTACACGTGCAGAGCTCCAGCGAGGTTGTCTCGCGTGCAGAAAGACTAAAGTTCCCTCGATGCATTGCAGCAGCGTAGTCAAAGTCGGTCTATCTTTGTCCGAATTTTGAGCGACGGACTGATCTTCTAAGGGGGAGAATGGCGGTGTCCTGGTACTCAAACGAGCTTTTGAGCAAATACTTATTTGGTCTGAGAGAGGGAGGAGTGCTTCCTTTTTCTCTTCTTGAACTGCTTGGTACGCTGCGCGATTTTTGAGTTTAGGAGGAAAAACTTAAGATATCGTTTCATAGCCCTTTAAAGGGGCCATGAAATTATTTTTCAACTTTTTCCTTCTTAGCTTTTCTCCTCAACTCACAAATCGCGTATTGTACCAAACAGTTCAAGAAGACAGAAAAAAGTAACTCCCCTCTTGCTGAGACCCTCGTTTGTGTACCCGGACACCGCCATCCTCCTCCTAAAAGATTAGCCCGTCGCTCAAAACTTGGACAAAAGTTGCTTTCCCCACCCCGTTCACCCTCAAGCTGACAGTGCTGTGGACGCTATGGGCTCTTTGGGCCAGTCACACTTTTGCCACGTGATCAATCTCCCTATCGCAGACGTACGCGCAGAGAATGAGGTCAGGTGATGAAAGGGAGGTGGCTGATTGGTTTGGCACGTGCATACTTTCCACCTCACTGTTAGCTTAAAAGTGAAGGGAGTAAGTGAGGTCCGGTGTCGTGGACATGCGTTTGGACCGGATGACTCTCGTTAGATACCGCAGATGTATCGCAGCGAAAAGGCAGAGAGGTTTCGAAGGGAAGGAGGTACAAAATAGTCTGCTGTGTTTTCAAATTTTCGTACCAAAAATCAGACTTTTGACTTTCTGCCTTCTTTCTTTTGGCCCACTAAACGATATGCTATTAGTAAAATCCCTATCTAAATTCATTTATCCCAGCCCAAAATTCGTTTCGTGGCCCCTTTAAGGTGTTTTTTTTTTTTTTTTTTAAAAGGTATGCGGAGAGCAAGTCGTCTGCTTCTTGCGCCGAACGCCTAACGACGCCGAACGCCGATTGGCTTTGATCAGAAGGATAGTGGGTAGACTTCAACGCCGGATGCCTCGAGGTCTACCCACTATTTCTTTCAATCAGCCAATAAGAGCTCGGCGTTCCGACATCATTGGACCCGTGTGTAAGAAGCAGACGAACTTGGTCTCCGACCGCCCGAAGTTCATTTATGCATCCGCTTTGGCAAGCGCTAGCATCTCTTGATGCACGAAAAGATGCCTCCATCTAAAAGCGTTGAATACATGTGAGCAAGAAACCGCCCCGCCGAGTGGCGTAACTATAGCTACCGCCACTGACGCCAGGAAATGGGCAAATGCCGCGCCACGGGTTGTCATCAGCGGCAGTTGCTACGGCTACGCCGCTCGGGGGTGCAATACGGCGCCGTTTTTGCTCGCTGTTTTCGGCGGACACCCTAAAAAATCGCCATCTTGCCATCCTCCCCGAACACACTTTGAAGAAAGCAGCAACGCCGACCCGTCACCACCGTAGACACGCCGAGGCAAACACACAACGTTGAGACCACGCCGTCGATGACGTGTCACGCGTGACGGCCGCCACCAAACTTCTCGGACACAATGGCCAACGGGCCAACGGCACCGGGCTTGAACGAGTCGTTCTCCTGCAGAGCCCTCTGTGGCAACAACACCGGCGTGCCCCGCTGGGCGGTCTCGTAGAGTTGTTTCTGCATGACTGCCAGGGACACCTTGTTGGCCCGAAGCAGGTCCGACATGCAGATGAGTTCTCCTGTGTGACCACGCTCTCCATCGGAGTCGAACATGGAGTCGGCGTCCGAGTCAGAGTCCGACACCGTGTCGTCCTTGTGTGCCGATTTCTTCGAGGATCTGGCGGCGGCCCTGGCTTGGGCTCGGAGTTGGGCGGGCGTGAGTGCGTTTCGCCGCGACCTGGGATAAGAGATTTCCATTGACGCACGTGTTTATGTATATTTGCACAACCACCGCGTTTCCTACGCACTCTAAATCTGATAATAATAATAATAATAATAATCCTTTATTTGTTTCATGCCCCAGAACAACCTTATCGGTCACAATGTAATAACACGTAAAAGAACAAAAAAAAAAAAAAAAAAGAGTAAAACTGTAATGGCTCCCGAATTAAACCATTTCACATATCAGAGAAAAAAATATCTACATTTAGTAGTCGTTTGAATGCAACACAATTAAAAAAAAAAAAAGGTCTACTTGAGGCGGGAATTCATTTGAGCAAATTTACATTCAAACCAAAGGGGACACTCGTTTGAATAAAAGTGTAAAATACATGAGCCTATAACGACTGCGGCCGTGAACCACATTGTGTAAAAATAAAAGGTTGAGCAAATATTTTTGACAGGACGCGTCATCTTTCTTTTTGACAGGACGCGTCATCATTACACACGGCACCGCAGGCCTTCATTGTATGGGCGACTTGCCTTCCTGCGGCACCGCGGCTCTCCTGTGCTCAAATAAATATTAATATGAATGTGCAATGAAATTTTTTAGGAAGCTATTTAAAATCATAATAGCATTTTCTATCAAAGTATCTATCGAAACCAAGGCATATAAATCGTTTCTGAACTCTTTCGATGCGTGCAGCGTCGGCCGATGTCAGCGAATTCCAGACCGAATCGCAAAACTCGTCTAACTTGTACTGAGGAACAAAATAAGCCAACTACGCGCACTAGATTTGAAAAATCGTGCATCAAACGAGATATCATTCCCATTGTTCTAAAGGCAGAAGCAACAATTTGGGTGACATGATATGAAAAGGAATGGTTATTGTCAAAAGAAACACCCAGGTCGCGAACTTGTTCCACGCGTTCGATGGCGTTATTGCCAATTAAATACTAATGAGAAATTCTTTCACCCTTTCTACACAGAGACAGCACTTTTGTTTTAGTATTTGGATTGACAAGCAAAAGGTTACATGAATACCAGTTTGAGATGCGCGATACATCTTGTAAAAAAAACACAATCATCTGCCGACTGAATTCTCAAATAAAGCTTGATATCGTCCGGAAATAAAAGCAACTTCGCATTTAGTATGCGCAATTCTATGTCGGTGATGAATACAAGAAAAGGCAGCAGCCCCAAGTTTGAGCCCTGAGGGACACCCGAAGTTGGAGTAAGTACATCCGATAAGCTATTTGAGATTTGTGTCTTGCTCTGCCCATCACTCGGGTAACTATGAAACCAGCTTGTAAGAGACGACGAAACGCCATATGAAGAGAGCTTATACATAAGTAATTCATGTTTTATCCTATCAAAAGCCTCGGATAAGTCCAAATACGGAATATCAGCTTGCCCTCGTGTAAGAACAAATGGCACTGTGTAATTGAGGAGAGAATATTGGTTCATTTCTACTGAACGACCTCTTAAAAATCCACGCTGAACGGTGCTCAGTTTTCGACGAAAGTAAATAAAAAGACGGACACGTATAACGCTATCTTTATGATTCTCGGCCAGTTCCTAATTGAAACCATGTTTTTTTCCTCTAATAAACAATTGACAAATTTCAGTTAATTATCCTATTTGTCGTGACAATTAGCTCCCTATATTTTGCCCTCCCCCCATCCCTCCTGGACGTATAGCTCACCTGCACAAATCGTGTTAGTGCAGCTTTCACATTTTTGTTAAACCAATGAGTTAAGTCTAAAAAAAGAGAAACACCCTGTGTACACTTTTCCGACGCTTCACCCAGGCGAAAACGCGCTGCGATGAGGTGCCATTTTTGCCGAATTGCGCCACACCTGCTCCAAGAGCAGCAAAGCAAGAAAGGGCAAGGAAAGTAGATTGCAGCGGCACCGCTAAGCCTCTCTCATCCCCCTTCTTCCCTCATCACCCGCCTTCTCCGTCCTCCGGAAAGTGATAATGATCAAGATTCGGGGCCGCCTCTTCTGTTTCAGCAAAGACATTTGAACAGGTACACCACGATTGGGATTGGAAACGAAACTGCGTTCGATGAAAATTCTGTAACTTTTAAGCCGAACGGTCGAGTGAAGCCAGTAAAAGCAGCGCGTGCGGGTGTCGAGGGCGTTGTGTATTCACTCGGGTATCGCTATGGTGTCTGGAACGCGTCCCGGAGACTCGTCTGCATGCACCGTGGTATCTCAGTTCTCTACTGCATCGCTCTGGCGCGCGCGCGTCGAGCTTCGCCACATTGCACCGGTGCGTCAGGAGGAGCACCCTTCTCGGGGGAATGGCTCGGATGGCTGCTCGGAAATTTTTATTCGATTTTCTTTGGTTACCGTAAAAAATCAACCTCCAACTTAAAAAAAAAAAAAGAAAAAAAAAGTGATGCATAAATTGCTGCTGTCGCTACGCTGACTCTCGACGAAATGCGTCAGCATTTAGCGGAGGGGTTCCGAGTCGGCGAAGGATGGAAATTACAACCTCACAACGGCCCGCATACTGTCGTTTTCAGAGAACCAGTCTGTTCTCCGGGGCGTCGGCGCTTTCGGATGCAGCCACCGCAGTTTCCCCGCGATCGCAGCCTACGGTCCGCATAGCGTTGTCTTAGAGGAGCCAATCTTTCCTCCCGGGTGGTCGGCGTTTTCGCGCAAACGGCGCCGTCGCTGCATCTCGGTTTTACGTTGTCGCGTACGTTGTGCATATACTGGGGAAACGAAACCATGTGCCTACGCCCCGGTGCCATCGGAGGTGGAAGGCGCGTCAACAGCGGCGCGTCATTTGAAGCGTGCGAAAAGACCCTTTCCCTCTTACGTAGGAAGGAAAGTGGACGTAACGAGCGAACGAAGCGAAAGGGCACGGTGGAAACGGCGCCGCAACCTCGCTAAACCAGTTCAGTTTAAACCAAAGACGGCTGCACGTACCGGGGAAATAAATGCTAGCGCATTTAAAAGTCTACCTGTATTCTAATAGATAAAGTAATCAACTTAGTCCCCGTTCGCCTGTCGATCGAGAGGGCATCGAACTCGACTCCGGCTCCAATGCAGCGGAGTACCGCGCACTGTTTATTGAAGCCTCCAAAGCATGTATGCAAGTTTCCCCAGTGTTTGTGGGTGGAGAGTTAATAATATACCAAGCCGGTGACAACTTAAGAACTCAGTGGATGCTCCGGCTCCAGCGCGAGCTTTCTGCGTTTGATTACGCTTCATCGCCCTCGCAGCCCGGCAGAGGACAACGATCACGTGCTGGAGGCGAAAGTTGTATACTCAATTCTTAGTTTTTCACCGACAGTAGTTGTAGAAGATGGACCCTCAATCATCACCAAAGATAGGCTACTTTCATGACGCTTTTAACCATTTCCTTTTTAATTCACATACTAATTACATGTTGGCATTTGCTTTGAATATTTATGCATCTGCCTATATTCGCCACGTCCTCACCCTACTAGAGTCACGCACAGAATGAGAACGACATGGCGCGTCTTTGGAACGCCCAAACCTCCAGCGCGCGCTTGAGATGCACAAAACACCGAAGCATTGTCGAAGGCAAGTAACTGGCGCTGGAGGCGGGATAACTGAAGTCCTTGCCTGCCGTCCTCACCTTGCCAGTAACTATAACATTCAGAGTGCAAGTTGGTATGTCCCTTGCGCTTCTCGTGCATGTGTTTACCCATCAAATGCGCCCAGGTGCGTTTGTTCCCCCTCCCCCTCCCTCCCTCCCCCCCCCTCCCCTCCCCTCCCCCTCCCCTCCCCCCCCCCCCCCCCCCCCCCCCCCCCCGACATCAACTAATGATGGCACCAGCTTGGCCACCTCGTCATTACGCGTTCCCTACGCGTCGTCCATGTTCACTCCGAGAAATAGGGAGTGTAGTACCATAGAGTCCTCTATACTCACAAAGCCTGGCAGTTCGACGACGGAGCCATAGAGTGTCCGGTCGCAGATTTGGAGCGCGAGGATCGGTAGCACAGAGCATCAAAGAGACATTTTTCGGGGAACCTGGACGTCAGCGCACAGCTTTTGCAGTGGCGAGGACCCGAAACACACTTGTTCGCTCCGGAGAAAATGTGTTTCGGCGTCTCGCCGTAGCGGGGCGCCCCTCACGTGGCTCTCCTCTCATCCGTTGTTTGTCGCTCCATCTTTTCCATTTCGGCGCCCGCTTCTCGTGGCGATTTGCCAAGCTTTGGGAGTACTTACACCCCTCGTGCCATATGTTATAACACCCCGAAACTATACTTCGACGTTCAGAATTCACTGACGTCAAACTGACGACACCCACTTTTACGAGCAGCTTGATAGCTGTGTTCGCGCGCAGTTGAAGCACGGTGGAAGGCAAAGAAACAAGTGCTGCTGGAGAGACCAGGCGTTCAAAGTGACGCCCTGCCCTTCTCACATTGTTAGTAACTTTAATACAGGGTGGGATCGAAAGAAAAAAAAAAAAAAAAAAAAAACCCGGTTTTTTGGCTTGCATAAAATAAACTACGTATCGCAGGAAGCTGAAATTCGGTGGTGAGAATGTGACGCTAGCGTGGTGATAAAATGCGAAAGTTTGGGCATGCCACGTTACCTCGATAAAAAAAAAATACGAAAGAAAAGCAAAATTTATTTATGAGCTGACGTCTACCTATGCTTAATCTTCATCAAACCGAAATTTGAGATTGTGGGTGCATGTAACAATTATGTCAGAGAAAAAAAAATTGTCAGCAAGAAAGAAATCTATGTCGTCTTTCTCACTGACAAGTTTATTACTTTTTTTCTTTTACTGAAATAAATGCTAAGTGCGCCTGCAATCTAAATTTTCATGATTTCAGGAATATTAGGCTTAGGTGGACGTAGGATCTAACGTTGGTCGGATCATGGAAAAGTCTTTAGCATGTTTTTACCCAGGTAACGTCGTGTACTCAAACTTTGGTATTTCATCACCACCGCGAGCGTCACGTTCTCACGGAGTGTCATCTTTCTACTGTGACGTACCTCGTCACTGGTTGCCTCGATCGTACTCACACGCAAGAAATCTCTTAAACCCTTTATTCTTTCGCGTACCCGCGCGCAGCGGTATCGCTCCTCTCGCTAAGCCTCGCGTTCCGCGCGACGGCTCCTTCTTCCTCATCCCGCGTCACCGCTCCCGTCTGCGGCCGTTGCGCCATCTCTCGGGCTCGGCGCGAAACGGTTACAGTGGTCGCCCATGCCATTCGAGAGGTGCGGCCCATGTTACGTGCATGCATATCTGTGCTTCCCCTAACACTACGACGCGTAGCTTATTTATACGGGCTGAAAAACCGGGTTTCATTCTCTCGATCTAAAGTTCTAAACCCTAGGAGGCCTGGTTATCGCGGCACTGTCCATATTTCCGTAAACGCGAATTGAAATATCTTTGATTGGATGACAAGCTTCACATGAACCAAGCCTGCGACTCAAACGGGTCGTCGTCATGTTGATATTTTGGACCCTGGAGGATAAGCGTGCGAATCCAACGATTACGTAACACGTCGCAAGAGCGAAGCGTGCCCACCTGGTAGGCTTCTGCCCCTTGGCTTTTCTCCGCTTGCAGGTGCAGTCGAGCCTACGAATGAGCCAGTTGAGTAACTGCTTGATGACGATCGAGGTGACGTTGAAGAGGCTGTAGATGCAGCAGCAGCCCACCGACATGATGACAAAGTTGGCCGCTCGGTACCAGGTCAGCACCTGCAGAGGAGAAAGGGGCGACGGAACTTGGGCTCAAATCATGTATCGGACGTTATTTTGGGAGGGGGCGGAATTCGCGTTTTTCTTTTCCAGACCCGAGACTAGGTGGAGAAACTTGAAGCAACTAAAGTTGGAAAGAGAAAGGACAGAAACCAACGTTGGATTCTGACGCCTTTTCTCTGGTTCTTCTTCTACTTTGGACGTTTCCTGCGTCAGGTGTTTGAGAAAATGATGAATGTACACTAGTTCGACTGTGCCATCACCGTATTACCGGAATCAGCAGTATTTCAGAGGCCGATGTGAGTGTCACAAAAAGGTTACATAGTGTAGCTTTTTGTTTTAATTTTTTCTAAGCCTTTTTTTTTTGTAGAAAACTTCTGTAACTTTTTGTACGTCTTCTCGTCGGAGAATAGACAGAGTAGACGTTCGTGCTCTGTACAATATAATTATTTTATAATGAGATTTAAATAGAACAGGACAGTTTCTTTTTCTCCTGAGTAAAGTTTCAGCCACTCCTTCAGGTTAGGCTCAAGCATGACATCAACGACAAAATAAGGAAGTAAAAAGGCCTCCTCTGTACACTTAATGCACTTCCCATGACCGGCGGCATTTTTTGGTGCGTTTGAGAGACCAGTGTTTCACAGCACCACTGTCCAGAATTTGTACCAAAACCATTTTGCATTTCTGATGTGCCGGGAAGTAATCATGGTCACAGGAGAGGGGTCTAGTATTCAACAACAATTGTCAATTTCGAGAAAAAAGTTTAGTTGTTTCCGGGCCGGGAAGTAATCATGGTCACAGGAGAGGGGTCTAGTATTCAACAACAATTGTCAATTTCGAGAAAAAAGTTTAGTTGTTTCCGGGCCGGGAAGTAATCATGGTCACAGGAGAGGGGTCTAGTATTCAACAACAATTGTCAATTTCGAGAAAAAAGTTTAGTTTAGATATAGGATAGATCACAAGTAAGGGATAGATCACAAATTTTTTTTTCCTATATAAAATTTCAGCCAGTCGCTCAAGCAGCCATAAACGACAAAGTGTGAAATTTTGAAAAGTTTGTCCTAAGTATTGAAGTACTGCCGATGATCTGTGATTTGTTAGGGTGGTTAAGAGAACGGTGTTTTAAAACACATATCAGCTTCCAAACTTTTAGTGAAATTTTTGTGCATTTCTCTAGGGCACCGGGAAGTAATTATCATAGTGACATGGAAGCTCCTCCCACCTCTTACCACTTTAGCTGAGCGAACGCTGGAGAGCCTCCAATCCAGCGTTCGCTCTGCTAAAGTGGAAAGAGCTGCGCGGGAGCGGTGGCAATCGGTTTGTCAAACGTCGTTTCGTCGACGGATCGTTTCGACGTAGACGCTAACCTGGAAGTAGAGAAGTGCCGTGTCGTCAGCGTCGAGGTCCCGGTCCTCGGAGTCCGTGGCGTTTCCGCCTACCGAGACGAGGTTCGGGTAGGCAGCCTTCTGGTTGGGCACCAGATCCCCGAAGCCGATGGTCGAGAAGGCGATGAAGCAGAAGTAGAGCGCCTCCGGGTAGGACCACTGCTCGGCCCTCGCGTACAGGGCCGACGCCGAGGCGGACAGCACGGCGGTGGCCAGGAACAGGCACAGCATCACCCAGTACACCGAGGGCTTCCAGTCGTCCAGGCGGTCGTCGAACGACAGCTGCGCGGGGGCGGTGGAAATCGGTTTATTCGAACGGCCGTTTCGTCGACGTTCGACCACGTTTCATCGACGTTTCATCGACAGTTGATTTCACCGAGAGGTTTCCGTGCGCTCGTTTTGTCGACATACACTTAGCGACGTCTCGTCGAAAGCGTCTTTCCGCGCACACCGCTCATCGGAACCGCCGAATCCTCGGAGGTTCCGATAAGGCCCGGTGCAAGGTGGGGTCCGAGATTATATAAAAAAAATTGTATTCTTCTTCTGAGCGGAGCGAAGCGATGAGTGACCGTGCGAATTCGTATGTTTCCTGTCGGAGCCGTTCGGCTGAGTCCGCTTTAGTTCCGGTATGATTCTAGCGGAGGAAATCAATTGTCAGTAACCCAATCCAATCCGACCGTGTTCCCGAAACGTTAGTGTGGACGAAACGTGCGTTCTTGCAAAGTTGTCCACGAAAAGTGTCTCCACAAAACGATACAACACCTCTGTGCAGAAGACTGCCAAATACCCGGTCCGTTAAAAAAAAAAAGCCCGTTTTTTTTTTTTCGTTTTTTTTTTTTGGTTGGCGTAAAGAAACTACAGAAAGAAGCTGGAACTTCGCGAGAATGTGGCACTATGATCACTGACAGAACGAAAACGGTTAGGTTGCCTTCTTTTTTTTCTTCTTCAAAATGCTTCGCGTTTAGCACGCGCCCGTTGCCTTCCGCCGTGCTCTGGCTGCGCATGCACGCTCGAGGCCCGCGAGACGCCGACGCATAATCCAAGGTATGCGGAGAGCAAGTTCGTCTGCTTCTTTTGCCGGTGGTTTTGGTGACGTCAGAACGACGCCGAGCTCTGATTGGCTGTGATTGAAGGATAGTGGGTAGACCCCGAGGCAGCTTGCTCTGAGGTCTACCCACTATCCTTCAATCAGAGCCAATCAGAGCTCGGCGCCTTTCTGACGTCACCACAACCCCCACAAAAGGAGCAGACGAACTTGCGCTCGCCCGGAGGGCGGGGCAACTGGAACTCCTCCCTGCCGTTCTTGCTCTGTCTGTAGTCATAGCTGTAGGGATAGAAAACGAAAGTGCGAGAGCATGAGTCACCCAAAGAAAAATTTTAAATGAAATAGGCCAATTCTCACCTAAAAGCTCTGTCTGGCGTCGAGCGTCGAAAGCGCGGCGTAGCGCTGGCGCACACAGATACTGATTGGTCGCAGATATCGAGTTCCCGCTGGCCGGCCAATGAAAAGGCGCACGTTCTGTGCTGCGTTGCGTTCGCTGCGCTGAACGTCGGAGTATAGCAGAGCTTTAAGTCTAATATTCATCGAACCAAGAAATGTTGATGGACGCCTGTAAAATTTACTTCCGCGAAAAAAAAAAAAAAAAAAAAAAAGGATTTTATTAATAAACAAAATATATTGATTTTTTTTTTTACTAAGCTCTTTTCAGAAAAAATGAATGCTATGGGCGTCCAGAATGTCATTTTATGGTTGGATGAATATTATAGCTCGGTGGATGTAGGCTCGTAGTGTCGCAAAGCAATTTGTTTTTATTTTCGGTTCGAAATCGGTCTCGATCTGCTTAACAATATCGGCAGCGAAAAAAAAAAAAAAAGAAAAGGGAAGAGTTTTGTGAGTGTGTCCAAAAAACATACAACATAAATTATAATATCAGATCATATTGTCACGAATTGAGGCGACGAGAAGCCGAACAGTGAACTGAAGGATAAAGGTTTAATGGGCGAACTTGTGCCAAACAAAAATAAGTAACGAAAGAGCGTCGAGGCAGCAGAAAAGCGGGCGGCGATTCGGCGGCACTACAGAGCGCTGGCGAGACTGACTCGACAAGGTCGCGTGCAGCTGCTGATCTACCGTGCGTCACTATCTCGAAAGTTCGGCAAAGAAGGCTCGAGCGTCGCGCGCTCGGGGCGAGGATGAACTGGCACTTTCGAGAATAACAAAGCAGAGGGAAAGTCACGTCTGGTGCGAGAATGAACGGGAATCTTCTAGAAGACCGTGACCAAGCGTTGCTTTCTCGGCTCTGCAAGCGGCAATATCAGATTTGAGAACTTATGTATGCCTCACATAATTTATGTAAGTTATAATATGTTTATTGGGCCAATCATATCAGTAATTTTTTTCTTTTTAAATATATATATATATCCCCATCTAAGAGAAAAAGCTTTCATAGACAGTTTCTGCAATAATCATACCAGAACTTATATATATAAATTATATAAGGCGCCTGTAATATATCCCCATCGAAGAAAAAACAAAAATCCCCATCAAAGAGAACATATTTCATATACGCGGTTTGTGCAATAATCATACCAGAAGTTATAATAAGTTATATAAGGCGTATGTAAGTTCTTATATGAACTCACATCTTCTTACATGTTAAATGGGCATATTCATGAAAGTCTTTCGCCAGAGGTAGAGGCTCCCCAAAACGTCGCGGTCACACTGCAAATGCATCACCCAAAAGGCGTGTTTCCCGGTTGTTCGGGGGTCCTGTTCACATAAGTCGTACAAAAACTGTCTGCAGACATTTTCCAAGCACACATATGTATGAAGCAAACGTGTTTCAACCATGCTTCAGAAGTTTCGGCAGGTAATTCTCTCCTACATCACTGCAGAGAGCTCCGTGCCGTGCGTACGATGTATATGTTGCTTTTTTTTTTCGTGGTTTTGGTTTTTTTTTTTTTTTATCCGCGGACTCCTTTATTCAGACGCAGCTAGGTTCGGAGGGGCTCATTATTTCTGAATCTGGGACAAGACGGAATTAGGAGGCCCCTGGCGTCACAATCTAACGACCCTACGCTCGACGAGTGCAGATTAGTCCGCGGCGACGACAGCCCACGATCGCGTTAGGACTCCCATTATAAAAGAAAACCCTCTCAAGACACAACGTGTCGCGTATACTAAATAAGACCGCGATTACGCCGACAGAGTCGGTCGCCGTGCCGCAGGCATTTGTTGCGGGGGTAAATTGCCGCCTTCCAAGCGAGAACGGGCCGCCTATATAGTGGCGACGCGCGTGACCAAAAAGCGTTGTTTTGTTCGGGCTTCCACTACTATAGCCAAACGCTCATTACGCCGTCTTACGTATGATGAATTCGTTATAATACGCTTGTTAGACACCCTACTCTTAGAGCGAGGATTGTCAGAGTGCCAACTTTGACAGCGTTAGCTTTAGGGCGCGACGACTGCGAGCTTCCACCGTGCTCTTTACACGCACCATCGAAATCGTCGCTCGCAATTGATAAGCCTTTCCATGACGTAGCAGATAGGAACCATAAGGAGGATCCACCGAAAAGCTTCGTTGCCTCTATACCCACGGCGTTAACTATTTTGTGCTACATCGTCGAGGCTAGGGTACCTCAATGTCCTTCTCACAAGGGAAAAAGAAATAGCGGAAAACAAAATGTCGCCGTAGCACTGTCAGCGCCACGAGCACGTGCTCTTTCACGCGCTTCACAAAAAAGAAAAAAGAATAAATATATAAAATAAGCGTTTGGAACAAAATGGCCAGATGTCATCACACTGAGCAAAGCGCGCATGAAGGCACCATAGTCAAGGTTAGCGTGCCTCCCACATGCCTTGCCGCATGGAAGCAGTGCACGCGCTCTGCTTCGTCTTGCGTCTTATTCACATACGCTAGCGCAACTAGCTTTGATAGAGTTGAAGCGCCGCGAAACCTACGCTAGCCTTGACAGCGTAGCGCAAAATAGTCGATGCCGAGCATAGTTGACATGCTCCTGTCTCTACTTCCCACCTCAAGAGTTGTGTGGGTCGTTGCGAGAGAAATATTGAGCACCGCGAGAACGTGGCTTTCGGAAGAAAACATTATTGGTGTTTTTGTTGCTGAACTACGTTATTGCGTTTTTATCTTTGATCATAAACAACGTGACCCTCACAAAAAAAAAAAAAAAAAAAAGCTTTGTTGGGATTTTATGAGTTGTATAATCTTGGCTACTTCTTCTCAGTTACTAACCAGAAGTTCGAAGGTGTTTGTAAAAATATCGACAGAAGCTTGGAGTCATTGTATTCTTAAAACCAACATCGTCACAGCTGACGCTTTGACAATGCGCTGATTTCTGTCGATAAAAGAAAACATAACCAAAATAAATACGTCAGTGTAAGCGTTTGGCCAATCGCGAATTGCGACACAGCCACGCTTTTGGTCGCACACCTCGCTAATACTCCGTTTCATACTTATACTGAAGCCAATGCCACAAGTACGAGAGCCGGAGGTCGCTGCTTTGAAGCATTCTTCCGCAGAACGAGCGCTCGTGCTAGAAATGCACGCCTCAAAGCCAGGAGCGCATGCTGCATAGCTCGCGCTTGTAGCTTTGGCTGCAGTCTCAGCTTAAAGATCAGCAAAGTGTACGCCCATAGGTACACCATTCCAATATTTACAAGTTCTCGGCCCAGTGTGCGATCTCCTCAACCCAGCACGCGCATGTTCGCCGTTATGGAAACTTGTAAATCACGCGCCACAGGCACGAACACTGAAAATAGAACCGACCAGGAGCCCAGCAGGGCATTTGGCAGCCACCATGCTCGTGCTGGCAAGTGTATACGTACATTTACAAGCTTGCCAATACTACGTTCCATTCGCAAGTTGCACACGCTTGCACGCGCCTGCACCAGGAACGCGCCATGCTTACAATCCTCTTATGGTTTCCCTCCGTGACGTCAAGACTGGGATTTGCCTCGCCGTGACGTCACCAGTTGTTATTCTGGCTACTTACCATCGGGTGCGACGACGAGTTCGATGGTGTGTTTAAAAAGCACAGTAGAAGCTAGGAGCCATCGCAATCCGAAACTAACACCGTCAAAGTTGACAATCTGACAGTGCTCATATGCCCGTGGTTTGGCCAATCGTGGAAAGCTGACCGCAGCGACGCTTTTGGCCGCGCACATCGCTAATAGTATAGGAGGTATTCACTGGACGCCATATTTGTGGGTGCTGTTTAGAGCTCATGCTCAGAACGAGCTCACATTAATTACCTGCTAAGACCGGCAACCTTGATGGTGCTAAATGCACGCTCCAAAAGGACTGCGGAAGCTCGCCGTCAGCACGCGCTCAGCAGCAGCGCACACAGATATGGCCGCCAGTGTCCTATAGCTTCGTTCGATTTACGTGGACCTCCTGCATTTGTGTACAAAAGGCTGTGTGCTTCCCGTGTGTGCATTGAGATACGACCGGAAATACACCGCCCTATACTTTTCTGCACCAAGGCAGGAGGTCCAGATGAATAGAACGAAGCTAGTATTACAGATAAAGAATCGCAAATATGGCGCCCTGACTGCAGGTGCGCCATGCGTCTGAGCGTGCGCGTGAACATAGCTTGGGCAAGCTTGAAACAGACTTATTTTGAATTACCCAAGCATCAACGAGGACGATGGGAATGTTTGTAGACGCGCCGCACACGCTCGACTTCCCTGTATAAAATATTCGAGGTAAATAACCAAAATAAAGCGTTGACGAACGCGCGTGCAAGATGCCATTTGTTTTAGGCATTTGCTTTAGAACAGTCATTGCTGCAGACGCCAGCGCGTGACGCGCGTGGGCAGCATGCTTCTTGGTGCTTGGGTAATTTAGCAAGAGGTCCATGGGCTTGTCCGCAGCAGAAGAGACATGGCGGCGGTCAATCACTTTGTTTGCAAGGTCTATAGCACTGTAGTCTATAGAACGCTGTCAAATCTACTGGAGCGAGCGCGGGGCTTCATCTTCGTTTGCGCCAGAACGCGTGCAAATAATCTGCGAAATCAAACCCCATGCAGGCGCCAATGTTTTTGTGACTATTCTGCATAAGTGCATACGGATAGACGATTGCAAGCAAGGCGGCTCTGCTCGTGCGGAAAAGCCCGTGCAATTTCAAGCTTGCAAAAGCTATGCTCACGCGCACACTGCAATTGCCCCATGCGCACGCTGCCCCATGCGCACGCTGCTCCACGCGCAGGCTGCACGCATGGGGCACCAGTCGGGGCGCCACGCTTACAATTGTCTATACACAATCAGGCGTAAGAATACACAAAGAAAGTAGGAAATGTGGTCCGAAAGAACAGGATCACTTGTAACCAGACGAGATATACCCCCAGAAAGTGACGACAAGAAACTTGCACCCAAAGCACGCTCTCGGCCCTCGACGCATCGCCGAAGTCTCCGTAACGTCACAATGACCTCGCGACGTCACACATGACAGGATGTGTAACAAGACGTATGTCCGGTCACACGTCTTTCACCATCATCTGCTATGGCCACCTACATCTTTTGAAGTCATGACATCCTGGCTGGACGTGTACGCAAGACGTGCATGTGTTCTGTCACACGTCCCCCACCGTTGTCTGATATGGTCACCTGCGGGTCTTGACTTCATGACATCACGGCAGGACGTGTATCCGGTCGCACGTCCTGCAATGTCGTCTGCTATGGTGACCTACGACTTTTAAAGCCACGATGATGTGTGACTGGCGTTTGCCAGTCACACATCATCGCGTTCGTCTGCCATGGTCACCTGTGAGTCTTTACATCATGGCAGGGCCTGTGTCCGGTCACACATTTTCTGCGGTCGCGTGCTAAAATTAACTACAAACTTTGACGTCATGACATCATGGCAGGACGTATGTCCGGTCACACGTCCTCCATCGTGGTCTACTATGGTCACATATGACTTTTAAAGTCATGACATTATGGCAGGACGTGTGTCTGGTCACACATCCTCCACGGTCGTCTGCTATGGTGGCACCTCTGAATTTTGACATGACAGACCGTTTGTGTGTGTCCCGTCACACAATCTCCGCAATCGTCTGCAATGGCATACTCTGCGAACTTTGGCGTCATGACATTATTCCAGGACATATGTACGGTCACACGTCCTCCGCTGTCTTCTGCTATGGTCACCTACGACTTTTGAAAGCATGACATTAGTGCAGGACGTGTGTTTGGTCACACATCCTTCGCGGTCGTCTCCTATCGTAACCAGCGAACGTTGACGTCTTGACATCATAGCAAAACGTATGTCCGGTCACACGTCCTCGACCGTCGCCTGCTATGGTCACCTGCGAGTCCCTCCGGTCGAGCAGACCCCGTCTTCTCAGGTCCCGCTCGTGGATCGCTTTGAGCAGGCACGCTAGCAGCGTAATGATGCGCTCCAGGAACAGGTTGAAGAACAGGATGGCTCCAGAGCAGCCGAAGAACCCGTACAGCACTAGCAGAGCGCGGCCGGCCCACGTGGTCGGAGTGGTCATGCCGAACCCTGCGGCAGGACAGTGAGACGTGTGGCGCTACCTGGTGCCGAATTATTGCAACACCTAGCTGGAAGTGCGATGATACACTAAACCTTAATATACGCTGGATCGTCTTCTAGCTGACACGATGAGAACGGCAGGGAGGTCCTTCAGACGTTCGGTCACACATCTAAAAAGCTTGCGCTGGAGGCGGGACGCCTCTAGCACAAGCTTTTTTTATTTTCGGTGGCACTTTGGCGTTTCGTGATCTTGCAGTCTCTCTTGACAATCTAGACTCGCCATTTTTTTTTAAACATATTTTGAAAAAAAAAAAAAATTTTTTTTCAAGTGCAATCTTGAGTATGCGCTGTAATATCTGTAGGACACGTGTCTTGATCATTTATACCACTGAATCTCTTCTGAAAAAATGCTGAGAGAAATAATATACTCTCCACAGAAATGCAAGCAGACGACGCATCGCTCCGTTTGTATCGGGGCAGCTTTCCCGCAGCATTTCTATCTTAGGCTACTTCTCGCTCGGTCAGCACAAGTGAGGAGGTTAAACATATTAAGAAATATACTCTTCCCAAAAGGATTGCCTGCGGAAGCTACGGATACGACATCATGCTCTTTCTTAGTACGTTTAACCCTTTTGGATGCGAGCCAGTGTAAAAGCAACGTTAAATTCAAAAGTCGGAGGAACTTCTGAATTTGGCGCCATTTCCGAAATTAACTACTCGGTGGTCAGTTTACTTCATCCAATATTCGCCACCATTTCAGGAAATAACTTAACCACCTCCGACTACTCCTGAAACAATGCACACAAAAAAAGCCACATTGTATAGCAGATTATGTTAAAAAGTCCTTTGAAAGTACATGGTATTTATAGTACTTTACTTGAAGTACATTGCGTCCAGTGCCTTCACTAATTTACTTGAAGTACATTGCGTCCAGTGCCTTCACTAATTTACTTTAAGTACATAACCTCTTATTTACTTTGTACTTTACTTCAAGTACTTTTTAGATGGTTTACCCAACACCGCATAAGTGGGTGGATCAAAACGTACCAAGATATATCGCAGCAGGCCTATGACGTTACAACTTCAGACAGCAATCAATAGATGGCGCTAAGGGCGCGATAAACCTTCTCTCCTCGCAATCACTGCGGTAGGTTCCTCGCAATCTCAGAACACCGCGAATTCAAGGAACTACGCGCACCCATGAAAGAAGCAGAACCCACGGAAGGCGTCTCATTAAAGCAAGCTCGTGACACGCACCACTCCCGATTAAACTTAAACTCGCTTCGATCATTACGATAACCCTAGAGAACACGAGAGTGCGTTCTGTGAGCAGCACATCCGAATCCAACCAAAGCTCCCCGTAACCAAGCATAGTAAATCACACCACTCGCATAATGCCCGCACGACGCATTTGGTGCTCCCCGAGTTTATCATGATCGAGAAAACTTTCATTTTTTTTTTCGGATTGTGGTTTTGGGGATTGTATTGTGCTAGAACCTTTTTGCTTCGAGCGCCAGGGACGCGCTTTTAATGAAACGCTCGTGACTTTCCGAGGTCGGATTGCTCCAACCCACGGGTGTCCGAGTATGCCGAAGGGACTCTCGCAGTAATTAACGAAGTCGGACGGAAAGAGAGAGAGAGAGAGAGAGATTCCAGCTCTACCACACTTTGATTGGAAAGCACTCAACAACACCGACGAGCGCGCTTTACCAATCGAGCTTAGTGAGCGACACTCGTGGACGCAGTGGAGTCTCGAGAATTCCCCCAGATTCCACCCCGAAGGGCCTATAGCACCACGGGCGACAGCGTTCGCAGAATCCGTTCCCAGGGCGACGTGGAAGTCCCTTCGGTTTTTTTCCCAATCCAGCGAATGCAATGCGTCTAAGATGCATACCACCGAGAAGAGAAGGCCTACAGATGACGTCATCATCGGTGGATCGCCGACCTGCCCCAAGCGACGTACAAGGTGAAACGCAACGAGAGACTCGCAAAACGGCAGACGCGTCCGCCTTAGCGTTACGCTTGTCGTAATACGCTGCGAGACGTGCTCTGATTGGCTCTTGAGGTCTACCCACTATCCTTCAGTCGGAGCCAATCAGAGCTCGGCTTTTTGACGTCACCAGAACACCTGCAAAAGAAGCAGACGAACTTTCGCTCTGCATAGGTGGTATCGATCTAACGGACATCACGCATGCTTCAATATCCGCGACTTTGGCACGCTTTTAAACGCGCACGCTACACATTCAATGGCCCAGTTTAAAAGGCCCGCTCTTGGTGGAGCATCCGAATAGGCTGAAATATGGCCTAGTTACCGACGTTGTGCCCCACTAACTATGCCAAGTTTTATAGTAACGTATAAAGAGCAGGGTATACTAAACGGAGTTTAGCAAGCGTTCGATTTGCCCGTCTCCGACGATAATTTTCGTTCGACAGAATTTTTTAAAAATATTTTTACATTTATACAAACAAATGTAAGAATATAGATCCCTGGATAGTGAAGATGTGCGAATTTGCGAGGGAAATCAGGAGTTTATTTTCTTCATCTTTTTCTTTTATATGGCATTCTTTTTTTTTAATTTTGTAAAACTGGCACGAACAAGGCACAAAGACAAATAACGGGGAAAAAGTGCTCTCATACAAACGCACGACTAGGAGCAAGTGATGAGATACGATGGAGAAAGGCGATCTGTTTACGCGGGTTTTGGCCGGGTTGGTGAACGCCGAGGCTGAACGCTAGCGAACAAAATCAATTCGCAGACAGCGCGTACAAAAACGCGGCTCTTTGCTCCGAACTTCGAACCGCTGGCTTCTTTAATTTAAGCAGTCTGACCCAGTAGGAAGGAATGCGTCTTTTTACTTGCAAAAGTGGGACTCTTTTTAGTGTTTTGTTGTAGTATGATTTTTATTGCGAATTAACGACCGTCCAGCCCTCTCCTTATGTAATTAATGCCCTTGCAAAACGGCCTTCTAGGAATCAATAAATGAAATTTAAAAAAAGAAAGCAGGTAGACTGTTGCGACAGTCGATGGCTGTATTCCAGTGTTGCGCAAAAAATATAATATATAAGGACGTGTTCGGTTCAAACATGAACCTTGTTGACGGTGTCACTTGCTTGAATTACGCAATGGTGGACGCCAGGGGGGACAAACCAAAGTTGATTAATTTGCGAAAGAGCCAGTCTTCTCTCCTTCGTTCCCCTATCCCCAATTTCCTTCTTTCCCGTTGCTAATTCCTCATATTCTCTCTTTCCCCTTCCACATTCCACAATTCTTTCCCTTTCCCGTTTGCCAATCTCTCAATTTTCCACTTTCCTGTTGCCTATAGGCTCCTTGCACATGACGTCACTTCCGATGCCCCTCCAGAGAAAAGGGGAAGAAGGAGCTTCCCTCTTATTAGGACCCTCTTTTGTGGCTCCCGGATTTGCGCAGGCGTCGCTATTCTCCTCCCAGGAGATTATAGAAGATTAACCTGTCACTCAAAATTCTTACAAAAGCAGCTTCCCTCTCCTCCTTTTACTTGGTGTTCAAAAGTGTGCGATGTGACGTCAGTGCAAGGAGCCTATTCCCCGATTCCTTCTTTCCCGACTCCCGATCGCCAAACTTTCCCCTCTCTCGTTACCCAGTTTCAAGTTTTCCCCATTTGACATTCCCCATTCTTCAAATTCCCCCCTTTCCAGGTCTATATTTCCCTATCCCCTCCCGTTCCCCATTTCCCAATTTTTTCACCTTCCCATTCCTCCCCGACATCACACACAGACACGCACTCGCGCTTGACGCTCGAGTTTTTCGCGCCTTTTTTTTGTGTGTGTGTGTTCACGCAACATGGCAGACAGCTGGTCTCTCCCGAGATCCCACGAGAGTTTTGTCTGAGATTCTGAAATTGGGTGGCAACGTCACAACGGTGCATTGATCGTGGGTGTTGTGACATCTTTTTCCTGCGCTCGGCCGTGTTCGCGCTTGTCGTCGCAGAGTGCCCTGCAAACAGAGTCATCGAAGCGGGTCGGTCCCTCGTTGACCCTCGGGGAATCTGGTATCGGAGATCCGACGACGCGTTGAGGACCTCTCGATTGGGATATCTCTTTTGTTCAAACACTGCTTCGAACAGATTGGAAGGGGAACATAGGCACTTCGCCAGATGGCGCCGCAAGTGACTGACCAGGCTTTGATATATATATTTGTTTTAGACCAGGTATATATACTATACTGGGTGTGCGAAATATTTTGAACATCCCTAAAAATAAAGTGTCTGAGAGAATAAAACAAATAAATAATCGCTTTTCGGGAATAAACTGCCAGCCACAGAAGACACCAGGGAGTGCACAAACGTACTCATAATAAAAATGGTTACATACAAGTTACTACTTAAGTTTATAACTAATGATGCGAATAATTGTATAACTATAACTAATGCTTCTAATTATGCTGTTCGTTCGCTATTATATGGAGCTGGGGACCCGTCAAACAGTTTTGCAGCTTTCTTTTTCTCCCTAGCCTTCCTTTTTATTAGTTGATGAGAAAATAGAGTTACTCTATTGTATTGTAATATAAACATAGGGTTCCAATATACCTATTGCTATATTACCCAAGCATCAAGGAGAATGCAGGGATTGGTGTTCCACGCGACACATCGTACGCCTTCCCGGCATAAAGATCTCGAAGTAAATCACCAAAATAAAGTGTTGACGAACGCGCGTGCAAGATGCCATTTGTTTTAGGTATTTGCTTTAGAAAACTTACTGCTGCTGAGGCCAGCACGTGCGGCGCGTGGAACACCAATACCTGCATTCTCCTTGATGCTTGGGTAATATAGCAATAGGTATATTAGAAACTCGGTGAGCGTCGTCCAAAAACCCGCAAATCACCCAGTTTAAGGACGACTTGAAGCGCGCGGGAAGGGCGGGGTTGGGCTAGATTTGCCACTTATGCAGCAAGCTAAAGATTGGCGTAGCGCGAACGCGAATATTTTCACTACGGCCTCGGACCTTCGCGCTTCCCGCGTGGTTCACATCG